GAAAAATCACCTGAATTCAACTCATTCAAATTTCACTGTGGGACAAAAGCCTGCATCAGATGTTTGCAAAAAACCTGTTCTTTTCAACCTCTCCTTTGGGATTTACTCCTCTCCATTTCATTTTTCTTAATACTCAGCAGCTGCATATTAATCAGAATGCTAATAAATCAGTCTTCCCTGGGCCTGCACTCACCAATTAACTTTAATAAACAAAATGCCTAGTGTCCTCTCCATTGGCTTCCCCCTTCCCGGGCCTGCTTCTGTTGCTGAGCCCAGGACAGAGGCCAGGGAATGGAAATAGGCCTGACACAGCAGGTATGGTGGTAGGGGGTCGAAGTGGGAGCTGTAAACATGCTCATCTAATTATGGTCTGCCCTTCTAAGGAGTCCCTAATTCGGCTGGGAGGATTACAACAAAGTTACTGAGTAGGGCCTAGTCTCGTAGGGGGCCCTGGAACAGCACAGGAAATGGGTCTAAGAGAAGAGGCCATCTGTTCGCTCCAAGTAAACCTTGATTGGTGGGCATGTGAGCCAGAGCTTACCGCTGGTGGGTCACTCCCTCGATGGCCTTTAACAGATATGTACAACTAAACAATCCACCAGTCACTTATGACCACCACAGGTGGCAGTCCCAGGAGGGGAGGTCACCTAATCAAATATTCAAGGAGGAACAAGAGAATCTCTGGTGCTTAGGCAAAATGAGGTTTTGCTGAAGTATAGCCAGGAAGAGGGAAGGGTCTAAATAGAAGCTGCTGAGCCCATTCCTCACCTTCTGCTTTTGTCTCCTGAAATGTGTTCACATTTTACTCTTGTTGCTGAGTGTCTGCTGCTGGACCTATTAAATGACTCTTGCACTGGTTCTAATCCATCTTGTTTTTCTGCCCAAAGCTCTTGTACTCTCACAATGACTTGCAATTATCTGTGTCTCTTCACTTCTTAGATCAGGTCTAAACATGTTATTTGCAGGAAGATGTTATAAAAAAATTACTTCAGTCATTTCCTTCTTTTTTCTGGTCTCCATGTGACAGCACACACCTGGAAGTCATCCCGCCCCGTAGCCTGCCTTACAACCTGGAACCTGGGAGGTGGGGGGAGCTGGCTTTAGGCCTGGAGTCCTCAGGATCCAGTCCTGAGTCTGGCCTCTTCTAGTGAGGTCATGACCCTGGTCTCCCTGGGTCATGAGCTCATGTACCCTATAGCTGCCACTGAAACAGTGAGTCCCACAGTGCCATCTCCTGCCCCTGGCCCTCCTGAGCTGTGGGTCAGAAAGTCCAACTGTATCTGGACACAGTCATGTACATGTCCCTGGCCACCTCAAACTCAACAAGGGCAAACGAAACTTGTGTTTTTGCCTCTGCCAGTGAAACCACCACCTACTAGAAACTACCCCAAGCCAGAAAGTAGGGAGCCAGTGGTGTGCTGGTAAGCATTTAACTGGCTCTCTGGGTGGGTGGAGGGGAGAATAAAGCCCTGATTTGTAGGGTTTGACAATTTCCATAGTACAAAAACTCCCACTATAGCCAATATCAAGCTACCAATATGTAGTTACTAAATGCCAGGTTGGGAAGAGATGCGTAGAACTGGATCTTGTGTGCTCATAGGAACCAGCTCCAGCATACCACAACATACCAGGATCCTGGTATCTCTGCTGCCAGTCACAACACCTGACATGCCAGCTTTCTCACTATTTTCTGAGCACACAAGCAGGGAGACATCCTGGGCTCATCCTCTTCCTCATGCCTCGCAAAAGACCCTGCCCCTCAGAGCTTCTCTGCATCTGCCCTGCTAGATGCCACCTCCATCAGGACCGCCCCCTGATCTCCTTGTATCCCCTCACACCCCTTCCCACCCATTTTCCACAAAGCAGCCAGTGTCTTTTTATAATAGGAACCTGAATGTGTCTCTTCCCTGCCCCAGAAATTCCCCTCCTAGATATCTACCCAAGAGAAATGAAAACACATGTCCAAGCCAAAATGTGTACATGGATGTCCATAGCAGCATTATTCACAAGAGCCAAAATGCAGAAACAATCTAAATGTTCATCAACCAATGAATGAATAGATAAAATGTGCTAGATTCACAATATGGAATGTTATTCAGCCTGACATCTCTGTTTTATAAGCACAGCCAGCTTATTTCCACCGCAGGGACTTCGTACTCGGCAGGCATGTTTGTGCCCCCATTTGCTTCCTGGCTGGCTCCTTCTCCTATGACCTCCTTATGGGTCTCCAACTACTCTTAACTCCCTGTCACTTTAGTCACTCCTTACTCTGCTTTGTTTCTCCACAACACTTACCACCAGCTGAAACAACAGACTATAAATTAATGGAACAGAATAGAGAGCCCAGAAATAAACTCACACATACATAGTAACTTGATTTTTGCAAAGAAGCAAATAAAATTCAATGGATAAAGGAGAGTCTTTTCAATAAATGGTGCTGGAACAACTGGACATCCACATGCAAAAAGCAGAAGCTAGACACAAACCTTAAAATGGATCTTAGACCTAAATGTAACACACAAAACTGTAAGATTCCTAGAAGATAACAGAAGAAATACTAGGTGACTTTGGGTTTGATGACGATTTCCTGGATACAACACCCAAAAAAACTGATTAACTGGACTTCATTAAAATTAATCATTTCTGCTCTACAAAGGACACTGTTAAGAGAATGCAAAGACAAGCCACAGATTGGGAGCAAATCTTTGTAAAACATAGATCTGATAAAGGACTCATATCTAAAATATATGAAGAGCCCTGGCCGGTGTGGCTCAGTTGGCTGGGGGTCATCCTACAAACTGAGAGGCTGCTGGTTCAGTCCCTTGGTCAGGGCACGTTCAGAAAACAAGCAATCAATGTTTCTCTCCCTCTCTTTCTCCCTCCCTTCCCCTCTCTCTAAAATCAGTAAGCATGTCCTCAGGTGAGGATTTAAAAAAATAAAAAAAGTATACAAAGAACTATTAAAACTCAACAGTTAGAAAACAACCCCATTAAAAAATGGGCAAGAGACCTGAACAGATACTCCACCAAAAAAGATATACAGATGGCAAAAAAGCCATCTGTATGAATATCTATGAAAATATGTTCAACTTCATACCTCATTCAGGAACTGTAAATCAACAAAACACTGAGATACCACTACACAACCAGTTAGAATGGTGAAAATCCAAAACACTGATAAGTGCTGGTGAGGATGTAGAGCAATAGGAACTCTCACTCATTGATCATGGGAATATAAAATGGTACAGCCACTCTGCAAGACAGTTTGGCAGTTTTTTACGAAACAAACATACTCTTATTATATGATCTGACAATCATGTTTCTTGGTATTTACCCAAAGGAGTTGAAAACTTAGTTCCACATGAAAGTTTATGGCAGCTTTACTCATAACTGCCACTACTTGCAAGCAACCAAGATGTCCTTCAATAGATAAATGGATAAATAAACTGTGATACATCTACACAATGGAATACTACTCAGTGCTAAAAAGAAATGAGCCCTGTCAGGGTAGCTCAGTTGGTTAGAGCGTCATCCCAATACACCAAGATTGCAGGTTTGATCCCCAGTCAGAGCACACACAGGAAACAACCAAAAGATGTTTCTCTCCCGCTCAAATCAATTTTAAGAAATTCATTTAAAAGAAATAAAAAGACATGGAGGGATGTTAAATGCATACACATTACCAAGTGACAGAAAGTCAGATCCAAGACAGCCAGAGTTCTCTTTTGTTCACTGCTGTATCTCCAGTCTGGTCTGGCTAAAGCTAAACTTCAATAAATATTTGATGAATTAATAAATGTGCAAGACAAAACCTTTCTTTTTTTTTTGGAAAGAGCACCCCTGACACTGCTCTTTCTTTTACTACAACATCTAATCCATTAGCATTTTATTTCAGTTCTAGGTTTTTTAATTGATTTTTATTTTATTTTTCTTATTGATTTTAGGGAGAGAGAGAGAAACTTGTTCCATTTATTTATACATTCACTGGTTGATTCTTTATTGATTCTTTTTTTCTGAGAGAGAGAGAAACATTGACTTCTTGTTCCACTTATTTGTGCATTCATTGGTTGATTCTGGCACGTGCCCTGACTGAGGATCGAACCTGCACCCTTGGCGTGTTGGGACGATGCTCTAACCAACAGAGCTACCCGGCCAGGGCTTTCTAGCTTCTTAAATATACCCAGCATCGGACCACTTTTCATCGCCACCTCAGATCCACCATGGGCCAAGTCAGCGCCATCTTGCACTGAGATTATTCCAGCTGCCTCCTTACTGGTCTCCCAGTTTCCACACCTGTCCTAACAATCTATTCTCTACATGGCGGCCAGAGGGAGCCTTTTAATACTTTAGTCCAGAGGCCTGCCAGTTTCTGTGAAAGTCCAGATGGTAAATCTTTCAGCTCTGTGCCCCTTTAGTACCAGTTGCAACAATTCAACTCTGCGGAGGCATCCACATGTGTTCCAACACAACTTTATTAACATTAGTCCCCACCCTGCTACTATAGTCACTTCACGTCACTCATTTCAAAACTTCCATAGGTGATTAACATCCAGAGTCCCATTACCTATCTGACTGTATCTCTTACTGTCTCTCTCCCCCTATGCTGCTTCAGCACAGTCGTCCTTCCAGGCCCTTGCAGCTATTGTTTCCCTGTCTGAAACACAGTTCTCTCTCTACCTGTATGGTTCACTTGTCACCTCCTCCATGAAGCCCTCTTCCTATCTAAATAGGCTACCTGTCACTCTCTCCCTATTTTTCCCCATAGCACTTAGCATCCACTGACTACTATATATTTCTGAGTTTACAATCTGTCTCCTCCTCTAGAGAGTGTCAGCTTACTGCTCTGTCCCCAGCACTTAGCCCCGTGCCAGGCACATGAGAAATGCCCAACCAGTACGTGGAACAAATGCACCAAGAGCAGACACTGGGTCTTGGGGTAGGAATGGGTGAAGAAGACCCCAGGGCACTGTTGGGGCCCATTGGGCCAGGGGCGTCCTCACCTAGCTGACCCCTGACCAGCTTCCTCTTCGTGGCTCTCCTCGCTCTGCTGCTGCTCCTTGTTGTCCCCCAAAGGCTGTGGCTCCTGGTCCTTGCTCTCCGCGTGGGGTATGTCCACCTGTGAGCACAGTCGGCACTTGAGAGGCTGAAGGAGGAAGGGCGGCAAGTGGTGGTCAGCCCTTCCTCCCCCGACTTTGGCTCCGGGCACCTGCTTGCAACATGGTGGAGACCCGCAGAAGAGATGGGCGCAGCTGGGGCGCACACCATGAGGTCGGGGGCATGAAGTGGGGGAACCCTGCGCCTGGGGGACAGAGGCGGGGAAACCTGGAGGGGTCCGGGTGAGGGCAGGGGCTCCGGGATGCCTGGGCTCCTAACTAGTAGGGTCGAGTTCTTCGAGGAAGGACAAGAGGGAGGAGAAAAAGAGGTAAACGGGTGCGGCACACGGGTATCTGAGCCGCTCTCTAGACTGCTTCTGCCACGCTCCAGACATGGCAGTCTGTCTTTCTGGTCCCACTGTCAGCGCGTCAGTCACACGGTCCATCAGTCAGGGCCAGGTCAGTCAGTCAGGAAATCGGGGTCCGGCAGGACGAAGGTGACCCGGATGGCAGAAGACAAGTGCCCAGGCTCGGGTCCGCAGCGGAAGCCCGAGATCGCCGCCGTTCCCTGCCTGTCCGCCCGCCGCCCGCACGAAGGAAACAAGCGCCGCGTACTGCCTGTCGCTCCATGTTGTCTTTTCCCGCCTTCTCGGTCAAGCCTTCTGCGCATGCGCCGGTCCCGCCCCAGGCCCCACCCACTGGCTGCAGCGAGCTTTCCTCTCAGTTTCTCTCTGGGAACGCGTGCGCGCAGCGGGGCGGGGCCAACTGTTAACGGCAGTTAGGCCGTTGGGTCTTCCAGGGGCTGCGCGCGCGCGGCGGGCGCTGTCTCGTGCTGGCTTTGGTGGCGAGGAACGGGAGAGGGTGGCCGTTGTCTGAGTGCGCGCATGCGTGCCTGTGAGGTTTGGGGGCCGACGGAGGTAGTGGAAATCTAGGGGACCTACGTTCATTCATTACATTTCAACTCATCTGCTCCACCTCCAAAAATCTTTTCAATAAAAATATCCTGACCGGCCGTGGCTGGTGTGACTCGTTGGATTGAGCGCCTGCCTGCGATTCCAAGGGTCACCTGTTGGACTCCCAGTCAGGGCACATGCCTGGGTTGCGTGCCAGGTCCCCAGTAGGGGGCGCGTCAGAGACAACCACACACTGATGTTTCTTTCCCTCCCTCCCTTACCCACTCTAAAAATAAAAATAAAAAAAAATGAATCTTAAAAAAAAAGAAAATTCTGACCCTTGTTCCCTGATTTAGACTTAACCTTTTCCAGTGAAAAAGTTTATGCAATAACCTCCTTGAACCAGTTACCTGTGCGCTCCAGAGCTAGAAGCTCCTCGAAAGGATAGTGGATCTAGCCCTTACAGAGTTGGACTCATGTCCTTTGATAATAATAGTAATAATAATAACTCCTTAATCATAACAATATTATTGTTGGCGCACTGAGGAGCCACAGACTGGGAGAAAATATTTGCAAAATATATATCTAAGAACTTGTACTAGCATCTAAAAGAACTCTTGCAACTCAGTAATAAAAGAAACCCAAATGAAAAAAATGGGCAAAAAATTTGAATAGGTGTGTGCAAAAGCCCTAAGGTGGAAGCAAGCTCAGTGGGATTGAAGAGCAGCCACAAGGCCTGTTGGGGAGAAAGAGCAAGGATCATGGGAGGCTGCAGTTGGGCAGGGCCTGTGGTCAGAGGGAAGGGTAAAGGGTTGGAATTTTGTTCCCACTGGTTGTGGAAAAAATGGAGCTTTCTCTGGGACACCTGTCAGTGTCCATGTGGAGGAGGCGGTGGGAATCCATTCACATTGCTCAGCCCTTGCAGGAGTCTCTGTCCTAGGCCACACACACCTCGGGCACACATCTTGACACCTAAATTCTGGAAAACATGGATTTGACTTTGGGTTCTACCTCTTACCCACTACAATGATCATAAAACTGCCACTCACATTCAAAACCCATTGTCTTCTACTACCAAGGTAATAAAATCTAAAACACCTGGCCAGGTAACTTAGTTGGTTAGAGGGTCGTCCTGATACCCCAAGGTTGTGGATTTGATCCCAGTCAGGGTAACCAATGCATGCGTAAGTCGAACAACAAAGTGATGCTTCTTTCTCCCTAAAATCAATTTTTCAAAAATTAAAAAAAAATATTCAGCAATCGTAAGGCTTTCAGGGATAACATCGGGAACATACCAAGAGTTTAATAAACAGGAGCTAACATTAGTATTTTGTGGTAAAGTCACAAGTTAAACAAAGTACATCTTCCCTCATCATCAGATTTGAAAATTGGAGAATTATCTACCAAGGAAAATCTCAAAGGCCTACTGTTAAATATGAACACACAAACACAAGCACACAGAACCCAAACAAAAGCAACACACAAGATGCAGGATGATTTTTATGGTGCATGATTTGTACAACTTTTAAGGGAAAAGGTTTTAACATATGAGAATGATAAACACCCAATTTCAGGAGGGAGCAATAACCTCAGCAGGGTGGGGATGAGAGGAACTAGAACAAGCCCAGAGGGTCTTCAAACCCACTGGTAACATAGGTCCAAAGTGAATTCTACAGTCAATGTTCAGATTTGATTGAAGCAAGGGTGGGGTGGAGTGATTCTTGGTTGTTAAATTATGCTTCATATTATACATGTTCTTTACCCTCAGCTATTTTCCAGTAAGGCCTTTACCTCTCTCAACTTCTGCATTTATTTATCATGTGTCCAGAGCACCCTCCCCTCATGTCAGCTCCCAAGGGCAGGGACCTGAGGCGATTGTGCCCACTGCCAAGACTTCAGCTCATGAACAGTGCTGGCACTTGGGAAGTATGCATGTATTGCATGAATCAGTATCTTTCTGTATGACTGAATTATTTAGTATGAAATAGAGAAAAAGATTTGACTGAGGAGCTCTGGAGATTGGTACCCACAGGGCCTTGGGGCCAGTGATGTCCCTGGCCTCAGCTGACTTGTCAACCTCACTGGCTGTGCCTGTGGTCTCCTGATGACCCAAGAAACTGTCCATGTTTTCAAAAGTGCACTGCCCCTGAAGAGGTGGGGTGAATGACACGGCAACTGGGATTTGCTTTAAAATTATTTCCACAAAAACATACAGATGAAGCTCAAGTGTGAGATCCTAAACACTGTACGACGGGAACAATGGGCTCACAAAGCTATATCTTCTTTCTATACTGATCTTGTTTGAAAGCCTTATGAGAATTTTTTTTTAAAGCAGTTTTTGGGAGGCTACAGGGATGAACAGGTGGAGCACAGGCAACTTTCAGGGTAGTGAAAATACTGTGTGATACCGTAATGATGGACACACATCACCATCCATCTGTGCAAACTCATAGAAGGTACAACACAGAGTGAACCGTTATTCACATGATCTGTCAAAACAGGTTCTTCAGTTGTAACAAAAGCACCACATTCTGGTGGGGATGTTGATAACTGGGGAGGCTGGGCAGGGGGTATATGGGAAATCTACTGAATTTTGCTGTGAGCCTAAAACTGGTCTAAAAATGTCTTTAAAAGGAGGGGGACAGCTTTTAAAAGCTTAGCTTGCTTGCCCTCCCAAGGAAGAGTGCCTGGCACCAGTTGGTGATCAGTAAGTGCTTGAAAGAGCTCATCTTTTCCAGGGGAGGCTGACTGAAGCTGACCGGGAGGCTCTGAGGATCAGGACCCCCATTCCGACACCTGTCGCACTCGTACCCAGGTTTCCCTCCCATCGAGCAGCACTCTGAGCTGGGCATAGCCGACAGAACCCCACTGCCCCTAAGGAAAGGCACTAGATGAGGACAACTGCCCACTTTATTAGCCAACAGCCACCTGCAGGGCTCCCTAGGGCCCACCCTCATAGGTGGACATCAGAACAAATGGGCTACCTGCTTCCCTGCCCCTGGGACCCTGGGCTGGGGTTGGAAAGGGGAGCTACCAGGAGCAGGGAGAAAGCCTCACAGAGGCCTCATAAATACAAGGGGGTCCACTGGCCAGGGATGCAAAGGGGCTACACAGCAGGGGCTCAGGGCGGGCATGCGGCCTGTTCTGGGCAGCCCATGTCACGCGGCCTTCTGTGTCTGCTGGGACCCCGTTTCAGCATCCAGGCGGCACAGGGGGCTGTCATACACCATCTGCAGATTCACCTTGTGGCCTACCAGCTCACGGATATTGTTGATGCTGTATTTGATCATCGTTGGGCTTAAGGGAGAGAGGGAACAAACTTTAACACTACAGCAGGTCCTGTTCTCCTCTGATCAGAACCTCTCTGAGAGCTCCCACCTCCCTCAGAGGAGAAGCCCCAGTCCTCCCCATGGTCCACAAGGCCCTGCACAACCTGCTCTTTCCCTCCCTCTTTCCCTCCTCACTTTCTTCCTGCAGCCAGAGAGGTGTCTAAACACAGCAGGCACGCTCCAGCCTCAGGGCCTTTGCAATGGCAATTCCCTCTGCCTGGAATACCCCTCCCCAAATATCCTCCCAGCTCATCTACCAGCAGTCTTTGCTTAGATGCCACCTCCTCTGTGAGGCCTTCCCTCACAACCTCCTCCCGTTGACCGTTCCTGCTGTGCTTTCTCCAAAGCAGTTATTGCACTCAGGCACATTTTAGGCATTATTTATTGAATTTACTTATTTATCATTTTTCTTACTCCACTAGGACCCCAAAAGAGGCAAGGGTGCGTGCTACTTATTCACAGTGGAGAACACAGCCCACAGCAGGTGCTCACTAAATTTTGTCAATGAATGAATGGATAGTGCTGAAGGTCTGCAGGTCCCCACACCAGGTGAGCCTAAGCAAAGCAGCCAGACATGCGCTAAGTGGTTTGGGTACTCACCGTTCCAGAGAGAGGCCCCAGGCAATGACTGACACATTCTCAGGGAGCCCCATGGGCAGCAGCATTTCAGGTCGGAAGAGCCCTGAGTTCCCGACCTCCACCCATTTCTTCAAGCCTGTGGCAGCAAAAGGATGTGGGCAGTGTTGGGCCTGGCAGTGAGTCTGGGAGGCAGGGCATGGGCTTGGCAGTGAGGGGACCTGGGCTAAGAGGGGACAGCCTCACACCTCCCTCCCTACCACAGTACCAGGCCCCACCCTGACCTTGGTGGTAGCTGAACACCTCCATGCTGGGCTCAGTGTAGGGGTTGTAGGCCGGCTTGAAGCGCAACTGGGTGATACCTGGGTGGAAGACAAGGCTGGTGACCCAGACATTCACTTGTGGTCTCGCCGGCACCACCTGCCCGGGCCTGTCTGCTCACCCAGCTTGGAGAAAAATTCCCGAAGGACGCCCATGAGGTGGCCCAGGGTGAGGCCGTGGTCAGCCACAACCCCCTCAATCTGGTGGAATTCCGCCAGGTGTGTGGCATCCAGGGTCTCATTCCGGAACACACGGTCGATGGAGAAGTACTTGGCTGGCGTAAAGGGTTTCTGGGGGTGACAGGCAGGCCAGGCCAAGGCATGGGTAAGAAAGTAAGTATGAAGTCACCTCAATGTCCCCACACTGCCCAGGCCCAGCCGTACCTTCTGGGCCAGGCGGTAGAGGGCACGGGCACTGGCCGCTGTGGTGTGTGTGCGCAGCAGATTCTTCCGGGCCTCGTCCAGCTTCCAATTGTACTTGTACCTTCAGGAGGAAATCCGGGAGTCCATGCTGATGTCCTCAGGTCCCCAACTTCCTTCCCCACAACACCCTGAAGTCCTGGTCCTGCCTCACCCCTGTGAGCCGTAGCCACCCTGGGAATGGGTCCGCTTGACCCGATGGACGTAGTCCATGGGGAGCTGCAGGGCCTCGGCTGGATCTGGGAAGGACAGAGCATCACCCAGTCAGTCATGGAGGATTCCTCAAACAGCCACTGCACAGAGGACAGACAGTAACAGGGGCAGCTCCCACCCTCACCTGCCACTGCAGCCACAGGGCGTCCAGGAGTACCTGAGTCAATCACATGCCTCTCTGCCCAGAACCTTCCATAGCTCCCATCTTACTGGGAGAAAAAGCCAAAGTCTCCTCTGTGGCCCCCAGTCAACTCCTACCCTCGTCCCTCCCAGTCCTAACTCATCACTTCCTCCAGTCACAGAGCCTCCCAGCTGATCTGTGAGCGCATCGCGCATGTTCCAGACTCAGGGCCTTTGCACTGGCCATTCCCCCTGCCCTGAACTTCCCTTCTCCAGATATAGGTCCTTCTCTACCTCCTTTGGTCTTTGCTTAAGTAAAAACTTTTTAAAAAAATTGACAGCTCCTCGCCATTGCATTTGCTGCCATCTTGCATTACAGCAATTACAGCTTATTCAGGATTGATCACCTCTCCCCCACCAGGATGCAGGTCTCATCAGGGCCAGGACTTCCGTCTCATTCATGGCTGTGGCCCAGGTGTTGAAGAGACCTTGGCACACAGGAGGAGCTCAGCAGCATTTGTTGTAGGGACGTGTGAATTCTTAAGAACAATTTTGGTGTGCCATGAAAGCTCCACCACCTACAAGCTGTGTGATCCTGAGCAAGTACAGGTCCCTCTTTGAGCCCTAGTGTCCTCATAGTAAAAGGGGCTAAAAGTATTCCTATAGTTGGCGGGAAGATTAGAAGAGCAACCACCATATAGGGAGTGCTTAGTGAGCTTGGGGTGCTGTGACAATAACAATGGCAATGATGCTGTTACTCCCAGCCAGGTAATGGGCAGCTAATGGTCTCCCTGGACCTCCTCCTGGTGGGAGAGACAACCTTTGTGTCGATTTCAAACAGCACGAAGAATCGTTAAAAAAAAAAAATGAATGGAGACCAAGGCTGATGATTAAGGGTGAGGCACCCTTAGAATGCAGGGGACCAAAGGCATGTCAGGAACGGCTTCTCTAAGGTGACGCATGAACACTTGATGCTGGAGCCCCCCATGAAGATCCAGGAGAAAACAGTTCTCGGAAGAAGGCACTGCAGAGGCAAATGCCCTGAGGTGGTCAGGGGGACAGGTGGAGGGAGGAAATCACAGAAGTTGCCGTGACCAGCTCACACAGGCCTCACGGGCCATGCGGGTGTACAGGACGAGGAGGACGGGGTTTATTCTGTAAAAGGGTACGCCACCCCAAAAGGCTCTGCCCGGACCCAGCACCTCTGACGGCACGGCAGGCCCACCCACCTTTCAGGAAGAAAGTGTCATGCTGGTCTCGTGCTGGGTGCTGCTGAGGCTGGAAAAGCGCATCAAAATTCCAGAAGGAGCTCTCAATAAAGTTGTCGGTTGGCATCTCAGTGAACCTGGTGGGAGATGTGGCCTGACTACCCTGCTTGTGCCCCGGGATAGCCTGGCCCTACCCCTGGCCCCAAGCTCACCCCATCTCCAGAAAAATCTGCCGGAACTGGGTGCGGACTTTCAGCAGGGGGTGCAGGTGGCCGCTGTCAGGGAGGATGCCGTGGGCTGAGAAATTATAGGGCTTGAAGGTCCGGTCCCGCCAGGAGCCGCTGTGGATGGGGATACAGGGTACATAGGCCTGGTGGGGACTGCCCACCCCCACCACACACCAACCCTTGACGCTGGGGCCTCCCCTACCTGGAGATCATCTCTGGGCTCAGATCCGCCTCCTGCTTGGAAATGCTGGTGCTGAAGGCACTGCCTTTGCTCACCCAGTAGGTCTTCAGGGTCCTAAGGCCAGGAGAGGGAAGGAAACCTCACTGTCAACTCCTCCAAGAGCCTTCACCTGATCTCCCATATGATGCTGACACCAACACCACCCCCCATGTCACTCTTTCTTTTTTCTTTTTCGTTTTTATTTATTGATTTTAGAGAGAGAAGAAGGGAGTAACAGAGAGAGAGGAAGGGAGTGAGAGAGAAACATTGATTGGTTGTCTCCCACATGTGCCCTAACTGGGGACCGAACCCGCAACCTAAGTATGTACCCTGACTGGGAATCGAACCACAACCTTTTGGTGTACGGGACAATGCTCCAACCAAGCCCCACCAGCTAGGGCTGCTTTATTTTCTTTCTGACATTTACTATCACCCAAAATCCTTTTCTTTGGCCCCCACCTATATCACAAATTCATTCACTTATTCATTGAATAAACACTTATTGAGAACCTACCATGTGCCACAGCCCATTCAAGGCACTAAGCATACAGCTGGGACATGACTGGTGTGGCTTGGTGGCTGGGAGTGACAGTAACAGCTAAAGCTTAGGCGACTAAAGTTATCCTATTCCAGCTCTGTTCCACTGAAGTCACTCCACAATCTTGTGAAAAGGGGCCATTTTACAGAGGAAAAAAAACTGAGTCCTAGAAAAATCAGGTGATTTAGCCAAGGTCACAGAGCTAGCAAGTGGCAGAGCCAGGGCTTGGATTGGGCAGCCCACCTCCATTGTCTGGTGAAAGGGGACTCAACCCTGTGAGAGCAGAGAACCCAGCTGTCCAGGTCCTAGCATTCAATCAATTTCAGACAGTGTCTAGGACTGTGAAAGAAATAAAACAAAACAAAACAAAACAAAACAAAAAAAACAAAAGAGAGAGACTGGGAGTGAGCAGCTTTTGTGAAACTTGCAGGAAAAAAAGGTAGCCCCTGTAAGGTGACACATGAACAAAGGCTGGATGCTGGAACCTGCCCTGAATATCAGCAGGAAGATCATTCTCGACAGAAGGCAAAGCACGTGCCAAGGCCCTGAGGTGCCATGAGCCTGGCCTGTCTGTTTGACAACCATAATGTGAAGAGGGGATGACAGAATCATGGCCAAGTGTGGCCAGAACAGCTCTCCCTTCCCCTCTCCTACCCCAGGGCCACACAGGTGACAGAGGTCTGAGCCTGGTGGTGGCAGCCACTCACACTTCAGTCAGCAGCTTCCTCTTCTTGAGCTCACTCTTTTCCTTTTCACTCAGCTTCTCGGCCTGTCCGCTCTGGACCAAGTGGAGCCGCCGCTGCACCTCATCCTCCACACTGTCCACCTGCCGCAAGGACGGGATGGATAATGGGATGGTGGTCACGTGTGGCTGTGAGGGCCACAGTTCTACCTGCCCACCCACAGAGACTCACCACTCGGAACACCCGGGGCCCGTCAGCAGCGCTCTTGTCCACGCGGATCCATTTGTTGGACATGGCCTTGCTGAAGCCCACCTTGCCACTGGGCAGTCGCTAGGGGAATAAGGCTGCAGTGAGGGGGCACAAGGGCCACCTTTACCCCACCACCTCCCCAGGCTCTGTCCCCCCACCCGGGGCCCTACCATGAGCTCACTCTGGGCCAGGCCCTCTGGGGGCACACTATGAAACACCCGGGCCTCATGGCTGCCCTCCCGATCAATTTCCTCGCCCTCAGCAGTAAGCTCCCAGCGCTTGGTGGAGCGTAGCTCAGCCTCAATGATCTGCAGGAAAAAGAAGACAGAGGCAGGGACAGGGTTCATTGTCAGGCACGCCCTTATCATAGCACTGGAGCCAAGGTCAAAGCATAGCCTCTAATGCTGGCTTCACACCTCAGCTGCACATATTCTCAGCCAAGTGATCTCCCCTTGCTGAGCCTCAGTTTCCATTCTGTGACACAGGCATGACAATAAATGTGATTTATACCTCTCAGGGTGAAGTAAAGTACTAAGGGTATTACCTGGCAGAAGAGAAATTCTATCACATTTGAACCTAGGAAAGATTTTTTTGTTAACTTAGGGAAGACTCTTAAAGCCTCAGACGAACTGGCTTATCTCCACGTTTATATGTTCACATCTCAGTGCTTAAAGAGTCAGAGAAAGGTCCCAGAGGTCCACGTTATACACAGGAACTTGAGGCTCCACGATGAGGATGGAGTTCAGGTCACACAGGCAGGGGCAAAGCTAGGTGGAGCCCACAGGTCCTAGCTCCCCCTTCATTCTAATTTCCAGCTCTGCTCCTCACTCCCTGTGTGACCTCAGGAAAGGTGCTCATAGCCAGTGAGCAAGTTTTCTTTATCCATGAGAGCTGGGTGTGGTGGGCACAACCTCAAAGGATTGTTCTAAGGAGCAATTGAACTAATACACAGAGAAGATGCTTAGCATACAGGGTGCTTAGCATGCAGCAAATGCTGCATAAATTCTAACTATTATTGCAATTGTTGTTAGACTGAACCACATTCAATCTCCACTATTCACCCCTTTGTGACCTACACAAATGTTGATTTCACATCAGTCAAGATACTGTCAACCCACACACCGTAGCTTCAATCCCTTCTGTAAAGTTACAAACTTGGGTTCTGCAGCCTGAGCTCCTAATTTCAAATCCAGGTTTGACTGTCCCTTCTAGTGACACTGATCAAATTACTGATCAGTATTTAGGAGTGGTCACGTCTGCGAAATGAGAATACTACTACTATCATCAACCTATGGTCACGGCAAGAATTAAATGATAAATAAAGCAGAGACCAGAGCAGAGCACAGAACATAAGTGGGATGAATGAACAGCCCAGATATGTTTTCTGCATCCTCCCTTCATGGATCCAGCCTCCTGGGTGGCCCACAGGCCCCTCAGCATCCTCCTCCTGTGAAGGCTCCATCACTCTTCACTTATCCAGGTTGGAAATCTGGGTTTCATTCAAGCTCCCCTTGCCTTGCCATGAATCTCATTTCATTCCCTCTCCTAAATCCCCTCTCCATTCCAGCTGCCTCCCTACAGCCAGATGCCATACCCTCTAGTTTGCACATGTGCCAGACTCTGCCCTCATCTTGGATCCGGCCCCTCTCAGTCCTTCCCAAGAGTGACGTGGGCAGCACACACATCTGACTAGCTGCAGCCCCTCCCCACTACCCTGTGAGGGATCCGCAAGCCCTTGCAAATTCCGACTCTGTGGTCTATCTCATCGCTCACTCCCTGACTCCCTAACCCCTAACTGAACCCTGAAGTACCACGGCCTTCCTCCTCGACGCAGAGACCCCGACTCAGCTGCCCCTTCCTCTGGGATTCTCTCCCTACCCCCAAGGCTGGGTCAGCTGTTACCTCTGGGTTCCCCGTGCTTCCTCCATCATTCTAGTGGCCTGAGGATCGCCCCTATTAAACCGCAATGTCCGTGAGAGCAGCGACTGCGTCTTCCTTTTCCACCATAGTAAACCGCCTCCCCCGCCCCGCCACAACGTTGATCCTGCCCTCAACAGGCGGTTCCTGCCTGAGGAACGCCGGTGTGCCCGACCCTCACTTGTTCCCGATTCCCTGCCTGCGCATCCCGAATTGAACACCAAAGTTACCCCTAACCAGGTCTGAGGGAGTCTGGCCAGCAGGCAGGGCCCTCACGGCAAAGGAACTGCAGGTGCTAAAGTCAGGAAGCCCGGGATCTCAGACCCGGTACCTCGGCCTCGGCTCACCTCGCCCAGCGCCTGCAGGCTCTTCACCGCGCCCACCACTGCCTGGTGTTCCACGCCCAGCTCGGCCGCCAGCTCCGCGCTGTCCAGGCCGCCATCGGCTGCCTCCAGCCGCTTCAGCAACACTTCCGCCACCGGACCGTCTGCCATGGCCGTTGCCGCGGCGCTCAGCGTGTCCCGGCCAGGGCCACAACCACCGGAACCGGAACCGGCGCCAGAACCACCGGAGCCGGAACCAGCGCCGAGGTGTGTGCCGCCATATTGAATGTGTCTGGTCGTGTTGCAGGGCTCAGAGCCTCGCCATCTTGAGTGTGTCAATTGAACCTTAAAGCGTGGAAGACTTTCTTAGCTGGACTTGTGGTGTCTGCTTGACTAGACAGGTCAGATTGCTTTCCCTTAAGAACAGAATCACAGCATTGTTTTGTTCCACCCCACCCCACCTGCAGCGGGCTGTATGACCTTGGACTTCCTCCTTCTCTTGGTCTTTGAGCCCTTAAACCTTCTGGGATTCTCTTGCCCTATAGAGCTAATCATTTTGCTGATGTCAGCTACTTTTAAATTTTCAAAGAGAGGCTGGGTAGGGACCATCCCCATCCAGAGAGGGGAGAGGGACCCACCTAATAGTAGTTACAGTCCAGGTAGCAGCTAACCTGTATGGACATCCAACTGTGTGCCCAACCTAGTGTTAAGTGCTTCAGGCTTGTTATTTCATTTCCTTCAAAACTTTATGATGTAGTACTGATATAATCCCCATTTCACAGATGCAAGAGCTGAGGCTCAGACGGTGCTATGATTTGCACAGGGTTCTACGAGGAGCTGGTAGAGATGGAAATCGGAAATTGTAAACACTCCAGATCCCACCCAACTCCTTACCTCATGCTCTGAGATCAATGTCAGCGCAATGACACATGATCTAAATCAGCACTGGCCTATAGATATGTAATGGAAGACACAAATGCAAATTTAAATTTTCTAGTAGCAATGTTAAAAACAAAATGAGTGAAATTTAATTGAAGAAGTTACCAAACCTGATATGTTCATTTATCACTTAAACATTTAACATTACTAATGAAATAGTTTACATTCTTTTTATCCATACTCAGTCTTACAAACCTGATGTGTATTTGAGGTTTTTAAATATTTTTTATTACTTTTAAATTAATTTTAGGGAGAGAGAAAGAAACATTGATTTATTGTTCCACTTATTCATGCATTCATTGGTTGACTCTTGCATGTGCCCTGACTGGGTATTGAACCAGCTACCTTGGCTTATGGGTATGATGCTCTAACCGAGTTACCCATCCAGGCCCATCTGATGTGTATTTCATTTTACTTTATTAAGATTTTATTTATTTTTAGGCAGGGGGGAAGGGAGGGAGAAGAGAGGGAGAGAAACATCACTGAGTGGTTGCCTCTAGCGGGCCCCCTACTGACCTGCAACCCAGGCATGTGCCCTGACTGGGAATCAAACCAGCAACACTTTGGGTCATAGGCCTGTGCTCAATCTATTGAGTCACAGCAGCCAGGACTGATGTATATTTTACACTTACATTACATGTCAGTTTCTACCAGTCACATTTCAAATGGTCAATAGTTACATGTGGCCAGTGGACAGTATGAGACAGCACAAATACATTCTAATCCCAGATTTGCCATTTATGTCACTCAGTCAAACCTCTTAATCTTTCTGCACTTCAGTTTCCTCTCTTGGATGGAGGTAATATGAGCCCAGGCTATTGTGAGAATTGTGAAAGTGCTCACATATGTATGCAGTATTTACTAATACTAAACTAAGTGTGGATTATATGTCAGGCACTATTCTAAGCAGTGTGTCTTTAGTCATTTAGCCATCACAATTGTCATTTGAACCTAGAAAATGGGGTTACTAATATCCCCCAATCCTGACTCTACAGTGAAGTCCCAATTTAAAAAAAAATTCAGAATGCATTCCTCAAAGTCCCTTCTTTCCTTCAAAGCACTTTCCCCATTTTTTAAAAAATTTAATTTCTTCAAGCATCCTTCCTTCTGTCATGGGTCAAATAAGTTTTAAGCCTGCTCTGTGTCAGGTGCTGCAGGAAATACTCGGGAATGATGAAATGAACATGACAAGCACAGTGTCTACCCTTAGGCAGGAAGCACCAAATCCATGTATCCATGACACTTGGTGGAAGGGAGGGAAGACAGGAGGGTCAGTGGCAGGCCTGGAGTGATCACCCCAGACTTGGGCTTCTCCTAAGGTGGGGGGGGGGGGCGGGGAGGGAGGTTGGGCACTGCATGGCAGAGGGAGGAGAATCCCAATTTCTTCAAAACCCTTCACTCCTCCCTTTTCTGAGTCCCCACCACTAGTGGGAAAGCACCCCCTCTCCACCTTTTTTGCCTGGATTCCCCAGCTCCTCACCTCCTGTGGTCCACTCCTAAGTTCCCAGGTCCAGGGCCTCTTTGTTCAGAGTCTGGGAAACCCCCTAGCCCTTCTTCCTCCTTCCTGAAAACTGTCCTGCGGTGTCACTTACAAGGTCCCGGCCATCAGAAGACTCTAAACTCAGGGACCTGCCCCTCTCCCTTAGACCTTATCTTCTCGACCATCTGTCTCTTTTTTTCCTCCCTAACGTAACCCCCTGCCCTCTCAACTTTAGCCGTTTGATTGCAAAAGCCAGGCCGTTTGTGGGAGACCACAAACAGCGACCCCTTTGATTTAAAGGCAGGAGTGGAGGGGATGAGGGGCAGGCTGCAACTAAAGGACTACCCTAACCCGGCCCTAGGAGTTACAGCCTATAGTCATACTTAGAGACTTCTGGGCTTCCCTCTGTCCCAGGATATCTTTAAAAGCTTTGAAAGCATTTCTGCTGGGCAGCAGCTACCCAGGATCGCTCCTCCTGGCCTTTCAGGAGCTTCTGTGACTTTACAGAGGCTGTGACTTGCCCCAGGTCACACAACAGCAGTCTGCCAGGGTAGCAGACACCAGGAGCCGCATGTTGGAAATAGCTGGCACTCTCGCTGCCAGCATGCATGACTGTGACACCATGGTGAACTGTTAGGTGTAAAGTGAAGCCCCAGAGCCCAAGCCTTTGGTGCTCCCTATGCCTCGCCCTCGGGTGCAAGCGGTGGGAGAGAAAGGGAAAGACAGTGACAGAGAAACAGCGCATCGTAGTGAGAGTTCATATCGGTAGAAAACCTTGCCTACATCTCCCTGCAGAATGGATCGGAGGAGGGGAGGCTGGTGCACGGTCCTACCCCTGGAGGGTCACATCTGCCCTCGCGCGAGTTCTTCAAATTTCCAGATCCCGGGCTACGCGCGCCGGCAAGGTAGGGGTTGGGCCGGTCTCTGGTCACATGACCTGGCCTGAGGGGCTCGAGGCCCCTACTCCACCGGTGGGCGTCTCCCACAACGCGTGGTCGACCCTCATTGGCCAGTTGTGAGGCCAATAGAAATCGGCCATCTGGGAACCCAGCGTTCCGAGGCACAGCCAAACCTGCTGAGCTGAGGAGAGCCCAATGGAAAGTCAGAGCCGTGGCCGTAGACCAATGAAAGCCATGGAGGGCGGGCCAAGAGGGAGGGCCAGGTTGGTTTGAGGGGCGGTCGTGTATAAAAGCTCACAGCCAGCTCTCGGTTTCTGTCCCTACTGCAGAGCCGCTGTTGAAGAAGTGACTTGCATGGTCCACGCGCCGCCGCCCCCTCGGCCCGCCATGCTGCTACCCGTGTTGCTGCTGCTTGGCCTTCTCAGCCTAGCTGCCGCCGAACCCGTCGTCTACTTCAAGGAGCAGTTTCTGGACGGAGGTAACGCCTGGCCCCTCCTCGAGGCCGCCCCGACAACGCGACCGGCCCCCCCAGCTCAGATCTGCATTGTCGCCTCTAATTACTGTTCGGAGGGCCAAAACGGTGGCCCCAGGGACTAGAACCGCAGGCGATCCTTCTTTCCGCGTCCCTGGGGAGCAAGGAGGGTGCTACGGCTTCCCACAGCGGGAGTTCGGGTTCGTCCGAGGATCTCTTAAGCTACCGGAGGTGTCAAACTGGAGGTTGGGGTGGGGGGCACTCAAGGATTTCCTTCCTTGACAGCAGCAGTTTGTGGCTTCTGGAAGATGCGTTTGAGCTGCAGCGGAGTTGGTGGGTGGGGGAGGTATCAGCACAATCGCGCTGACCAGCCCCTCTGATTCCGTAGACGGGTGGACCAACCGCTGGGTCGAATCGAAACACAAGTCGGATTTTGGCAAATTCGTCCTCAGTGCCGGAAAGTTTTATGGTGACCTGGAGAAAGATAAAGGTAAGAGCCTGGGGCTGGGTGCTGAGCTCCAGGAGGACTTCCTGGAGGAAGCCCTAGTCACCGACAGCCTGGGCATCCCCAGGAGCAAGGAAAGCAGAGAAAGGGGAAGGGTTGTCTGTATCTTTGAACCTTAGGGTTCCCGAGGTTGGGGCCAGTTGTGACCTCACTATTATTCTCTGCTAGGGCTGCAGACGAGCCAGGATGCCCGCTTTTACGCACTGTCCGCCAGATTTGAGCCTTTCAGCAACAAGGACCAGACGTTGGTGGTACAGTTTACTGTGAAACACGAGCAGAACATCGACTGTGGGGGCGGCTACGTGAAGCTATTTCCAAAGGGTTTGGACCAGACAGACATGCACGGAGACTCTGAATACAACATTATGTTTGGTAAGGGGCCCCCGCCCTGGTGCTGACCTCTGATTAGAGAGAGACTGAGACCCATCACCTGGTTCCTTAATAGCCCATGAAAGGGTGGTCTGGAGAGTCTGGGAAACACATTGTCAGACTTTGCTTTGAAGGGGAAACTGAGCAATAGTTGCATTGTTATTGTTGGTCTAAGACTGTTAATTGATGTGCTTTTAGGTAGATATTTTGCAGTTTTACAAGTGAGGATACTGAGTCCTAGAGCGTGCGTTTTTTCCTCCCAATTCTCCACACGTTGCCCCTTAGAGATAGACAAGGTCTGAACTATGTCTTTTAAGTCTTAATGGATCTGAATTTAAGAATCAAGTCTTGTTGACTTGGGGTGGTGAACATACAATATATAGGTGATTTTAAATAGAATTGTACACCTGAAATCTACATAACTTTATTAACCAATGTTACCCCAGTTTAGTTTTTTAAAAAGAGAATTAAGCCTTCCTTTTGTAATAGGGGTTGGGAGGATCTGGCAGTGGTGGGCAGCCTCTGGCCCTTAACTGGACCTGCTTCTCACCTAGGCCCTGATATCTGTGGCCCTGGCACCAAGAAGGTGCATGTCATCTTCAACTACAAGGGCAAGAACGTGCTGATCAACAAGGACATCCGTTGCAAGGTGTGCCTGGGATTGGTGACAAATGGCTGTCCAGAGTAGACTCAGAGGCCAGTCTAGTGGGCGGGGCCACTCACCTTCTGCCTTTTTCAGGATGATGAATTTACACATCTGTACACACTGATTGTGCGGCCCGATAACACCTACGAGGTGAAAATTGATAATAGCCAGGTGGAGTCGGGCTCCCTGGAGGATGATTGGGACTTCCTGCCACCCAAGAAGATAAAGGATCCTGATGCCTCGAAGCCTGAAGACTGGGACGAACGTGCCAAGATTGATGACCCCACAGACTCCAAACCTGAGGTTGGTGTTTGGACACGGGCTCCCCACCACAGAGGGACTGGTGGTGGACAGCTTGGCTAAATCTTATCCTTTCATGTACTCTCAGGACTGGGACAAGCCTGAGCACATCCCTGACCCTGATGCTAAGAAGCCTGAGGACTGGGATGAAGAGATGGACGGAGAGTGGGAACCACCAGTGATTCAGAACCCAGAATACAAGGTGCTCCTGGGGCTCCAAGCAAGAGTGGGGTGCCACAGAGGGGAGCATGCTGACTTCCACTCACCTCCAGTTCTCTTCTTACGTAGGGCGAGTGGAAGCCCCGGCAGATCGACAACCCAGATTACAAGGGCACCTGGATCCATCCAGAGATCGACAACCCTGAGTACTCTCCTGATAGCAGTATCTATGCTTATGAAAACTTCGCTGTGCTAGGCCTAGACCTCTGGCAGGTGCGATGTGGAGGAAACAGGAGGATTGCTAGGGGACCTCAAGTGCTCAGGGTCACCTACTAGTAAAGGAGAGGAGTAGGAGTCAGTCCCTAGGCACTTGTGAGGCTAAAATGTGTGGTTTTTCTGAATTTCCTGCTCTCTCTCTATGGAGTTCTCACAGCACCCGCTTTGAGGTTCTATATACTTTGTGCTAGGCATTCTTTCAAGAACCTTTATCTGAACCAACTCATGAACTTCCCCCAACAACCTAGAAGGTGGGTAGATAGCCCCATTAGAAAATTAGCTTCATAGGGACCAAATTTTTGTCTGTTCTGTTCACTGATGTACTTCTGTGCCTAGAACCTGGCACATAGTAGGTACTGGAAAAGTATTTGCACAAGGAGGTGACCGCATTATATAGATTAAGAAACAGGTGCAGAGAAGTCACTAACCCAAGGTCATATAGGCAGAAAATAGAACTGAAGTTTGAATCCATTCAGCCTGTTTTTTTAATCATAATGTTAGACTGTGGCATTGTGTAATGGTTACGGAACCCAGGGCCGGGGCCATGAGCTGGTCCCCTCTGACCATCCATACATCTCTGCCCCCAGGTCAAGTCTGGCACCATCTTCGACAACTTCCTCATCACCAATGATGAAGCGTATGCCGAACAGTTTGGCAATGAGACATGGGGTGTTACAAAGGTGGGACTAGGGTCCCTGATGGGCTGGGGTGGGGGGCAGGCAGGGCTGGAAGGTGGGGGCCAGGCCCTGAGTGTGTGTGGTATGTGTGCAGGCAGCAGAAAAGCAAATGAAGGACAAGCAGGATGAGGAGCAGAGGCTGAAGGAGGAGGAGGAGGACAAGAAGCGTAAGGAGGAGGAGGAGGCAGACAAGGATGACGATGAGGAGGACAAAGATGAAGATGAGGAGGAAGAGGACGATAAGGAGGAGGAAGAGGAGGAAGATGCTGCCGCTGGCCAGGCCAAGGATGAGCTGTAGGGGCCACGCCACTGCTTCTAGGGCTGGACTGAGGCCTGAGCGTGCCCGCCACAGAGCCAGTTGCGCCAAATAATGTCTCTATGAGACTGGAGAACTTTCCATTTTTTCCAGGCGGGTTCCAATTTGGGGTGGATTTTGGTATTGTTCCCTCCCCACTCCCCCCTCCCATTGGTGTTTTGTCTCTGTTTCTCCTTCGGCCCTCATCTTTCTTGACATCTTTGCTTTCCTCTGCCCCTTCTTTCCCCAGATCCCTTAATTTCCCCTCCAACCTGGGAGTATGGGGGGTGTGGAGGAGAAGCTCCAGGCCCAAGATTCCATCTGTTCTCCTTCCTGGAGCCCAGAGGGGGGCAGGGGGCGAGGATGGCGTCCCCAGCCCCCCAGCACTGAGGAAGAATGGGGCTCCTAGGGCCTGAGCTCTGACACCCCCATCTCCTCCCCTTTGCTTCCAGGACTGGGCCACTTCTGGGTGGGGCGGTGGGTTCCAGCTCAGCTCACACTGAGAATGTAAGAACTACAAAAAAAAATTTCTATTAAATTAAGTTTTGTGTCTTCCTCCTGTGTCTCCTTCTGGACATCAGGAAACCAAAGGTGGCCTTTTTGGGGGGGGGTGGGGGGTGGGGAATGACTTAAGTAAAAATTTTCAGCCACTAAAATATTAGCTGAATGTCCCATAAGATTACAGGGGCCTTCATTTACCTCCACAAAACTCTGGGAAAGGAGGAATTAAGTGCCATTACAAATACTCCAGGTATTAACTCACTTGAGTCCTTACACCAAGCTGGTGAGTTTTAGTACCAGGTGAGTGTGATGAAGGGATAGGTCCAGAATATAGTAAGAGGTTGGGCAGGCATTTAAACCTACACGTTAGACACTATCTCATACCATTTTTTTTTTTTTTTTGAAGATTTATTTTTAGGAAAAGGAAGGGAGGGCGGGGGAGAGAGATGGATGTGTGGTTGCATCTTGCAAGCCCCCTACTGGGGACTTGCTTGCAACCTAGGCATGTGCCCTATGCTGTGAATCGAACCAGCAACACTGGTTTGCAGGCTGGTGCTCAATCCACTAAGCCACATCAGCTAGGGCTCATACCATCTATTTCACACAACTGTATATGTGTACCTGTTAACCTATTACAGAGTAAGACTCCATAGAGCAATCGGGCAGTGGTAAAAGCTATTCCTCTTAAGATATGAGAGAGTCTGGGCTCCTGCGGTTGGCCTAGGCTTGCTCTGCTGGGGTCCACAAGGCTGCCACTAAAGTCCAGCACGTAGCTGGACTTTAACCTTGTTTGCCAGGAGAGGTAAGAATCCCTGAAATGGGCCCAGACTGCTCTGATGGAAGCTTCTAGACTCAGAACGCAAAGCAAAGGGAGAAGTAGCAGGACTGGGTTACATTGGTTACAGTTGGGCAGTGGGTCAGGTGTTGGGTGACCGCCTTGTTCCTGGCTAGGGCGAATGCTTGGGTGGGACCTGTGAAATGAGCAGGTTCAGAGGAAGGTAATGGGCAGTCTAGGGTGGAGGTGTCGACCCAACAGCTGGGAGATAAGCCCAGCTTCATCTCCATCCAGCCTCTGAAACATCCTCTTCAGCTTTGGCCAACCAGCCCCTCAAGTCTTTGTTATTATTTGGATGGGCCTCCTTCAAGCTTCCCTCCTGTGTCCTGTGGCTGAGCCCCACCCCTTTGGGAAGCCTATCCAGGGCAAGCTTATGGAGAGACCTGTATTTGATGTGGGGGACTTGAAAATTAACATCTTCCTTAAATACTTTTGGGGTCAGAGAGTAGGGTGAGCAAAATGGTTGGGGAATTAGCAGCAGAGAGGTGGCCAAATGCATTTTTTAATTTGTATTTAATTGGTGACCTTTCAAGTATCCTTTCCAGTCCTAAGTTCTACTTTCAGGGCCTGATGGGTTCTTCTCAGGGTGGCCGGGCTAGAATAAAACTCAATTGGAACGTGCAAAAAAGAGGAACAGAGACTCTGGAGATATACAAGTATCTATAACAAGTACATTTAAATTTTTGTTCAGTGTCATAAAATGAAACGTTTAAGGGTCAAGGTAGGGACTTCGCAGCCATTTTGTGGCCTTATGACGTCACTGCTAGGGGCATAGCGTCACTCGCAGGAAGCCACTTGACGGGTGTGCGCTCTGAATGAGAAACGCCCTCCCCTCCTGCGGAGCCGAGTTTAGTGTGCGCATGCCTGTGGAGGCCTACGAAAGCCAATGGGGGGCGGGGAGAGCACGCCTGCAAGTCATGTGCTTTCATAGTCGGCGCGCGCAGCCCCTGCCCCGGAAGCGGTCGGCTAGCGGCGCGGCTGGGCGCTAAGATGGCGGCGGCGTGAATTGCATGTTGTGTGAGGATCCCGGGGCCGCCGCATCGCTCGGGCCCCACCATGGCTGTCACCATCACGCTCAAAACGCTGCAGCAGCAGACCTTTAAGATCCGCATGGAGCCTGACGAGACGGTGCGAGCCAGGCTGGAGCCCGGGGGTGGGGATGACGGGATCTGGGGGTGGGGTGGGGGCTGGGAGGCAGAGATCCCGGCGGGAGGGGCAGGGAGAGCGGCGCGGCACGAGTCCAGCTCACCTTTTCCAACCTGCCTGACTGTTCCGGACCATCCGCTCTCCTATCCCACGAGGATCTGCGGCCTAGACCCTGGCGGCTCGGTCGGCGTTCGTGCGCTTCTCTCCGGCCCCACCCCCGGGCGCCTGCCAGGTCCCGGCTCTAATGTCAGCGCTCTCGCGGGGCACGGGAGCCAGGCTCGGATGCCCGGCTGGGCTGCGCTCTGCGGAACGTGGGTTCTGAGTTCTCAGCCTTGCAAGCGTCTGCTCGGGGACGTTGGCGACCGAATCTGGGAGTAGTGGCCAGGAGATGCCGACTGATGATAGCAATGACGATGATAATGATAATAAACGGTCTGAATTTCAGTTGTCCATGTTTGTTGGCCGTTTGTTACTTGCTAGTTGATGAGATTTTTACTGTTATTATCTTACTAAATATGCAGAACAGGCTTGTCATTTAGGAACTCTTTGACTCCTCACTTTACAGATGTGGAAACCGAGGATTAAGGAACTTAGCCACAGTCACATCAGCCAGTAATGGCAGAGCTAGTATTCGAATTCGGTCTCCCTTATGTCAGATCCCACGGTGTAACCATTATCCTGCTTTTTTTTTTTTTTTTTTTTTTTTAGCAAAAAAGAGAATTTAGGATCTAACAAACATAATGGAGTGTAACTATGTATTTGGCACTTTTCGCACTACTACCCCATGAGGGACACATTCGTGTCTTCTTTTTGTAGGTTTCTTTTAAAAAGACTTTATTTTTTAGAAAAAGGAAGGGAGGGGGAGAGAGAGATCGATGTGTGGATGTGTGGTTGCATCGCGGGGGTAAGGGAGGGAGAAAAACATTGCACACATCAGTCTGTTGCCTCTCCCAAGCCCCATCCTGGGGACCTGGCCTCCATCCTAGGCAAGTGCCCTGAGCAGGAATTGAACTGGCTACCTAATGGTTAGCAGGGTAGCACTCAATCCGATGAGCCACACCAGCTAGAGCAGACACATGCAGACTTTCGCAAACTGCCCAGCTGTTTGACTTGGGAAGTTACTTAACCTCTCTGTGCTCCATTTTCTTAAATATGAAATGAGGCTAATGATATCTATTTCATACAGTTATTTTGAGGCTCTAAAAATGTGGTATAGCCCTGGCCAGTGTGGCTCAGTTGGGCGCTGTTCCACATCGCAGAAGGTCAACCGTTTGATTCGCAGTCAGGGCACGTGCCTTGGTTTCGGGTTCAGTCCCCAGTTGGGCACCTTCGAGATGCAACCTATTGATGTTTCTCTCTCACATCAATGTTCCTCTCTCTCTCTTACTCTCTTCCTCTCTCTAAAAATAAGTTTTTACTTATATATATATATAAAAATAAATATATATTTATGATAGCTTTATTAACTTAGATACTTTAAGTAAAAACCGATCACTGTATGCAACGTAGAATGAGGAACCTTCCTGTCTCCCCTAGGTTATGGTTTATTTTTCATCATACTTTACACCGTCTGAAATACATACTTGTTTTTTCTTTTCCCCACATGAGTATCATCTCCATGAGAACAAAGATTTGTTTTGTTCTCTGCTGTATCTTCAGTACCTGACACATTATAAACGTTCAGTAAATACTGTGTTCAATACAGGGATGATCAAATGAACTCAAATCTCCATTCTTGACTACGAAGCTTAACTTCTCTGCCATCAAGGCTTTCAGCCTCTCCTCGCCAGACTAGAAGGGAAGAGAGATTCTTGGGGTTTGCAATGACTGTTTGTACCACTCTCTCCAGGTGAAGGTGCTAAAGGAAAAGATCGAAGCCGAAAAGGGTCGTGATGCCTTCCCTGTGGCTGGACAGAAACTTATCTATGCTGGCAAGATCCTAAGCGATGATGTTCCCATCAGGGACTATCGCATAGATGAGAAGAACTTTGTGGTTGTCATGGTGACCAAGGTGGGTGAAGTGTGCTGGTTGTGAGGATTATATGGATTACCTAGGGAGCTGGCTAGAGCCTGTGTGCCCATAAGAGATTAGCCATAAATAGGGCGGGGCCAGGAGGTGGCTGGATGTTGAGGCTTGATAGGGATACTGATGCCTGCTCCCTTTTTCTGGGTGTGACAGGCCAAAAACAGCCCAGGCACCTCAGTACCCCCAGAGGCCTCTTCCACTGCTGCCCCTGAGTCCTCCACATCCTCCCCGCCGGCCCCTGCCTCAGGCATGTCCCATCCCCCACCTACCGTCAGAGAGGACAAGAGCCCATCGGAGGAATCAGTCCCCACAACATCCCCGGAGTCTGTGTCAGGGTAAGGCAGGGAGCAGCAGCCCCAGTTTGGGCCCTGGCCTCCCAGCACATTCCAGCATCCACTTACGTGGTTCTGTGCACCCAGGGGGAGGGAAGCTGCCTGAAGCCAGGGTCCGATTTCTCTCTCTTGAATTTGCAGCTCTGTTCCTTCTTCAGGTAGCAGCGGGAGAGAGGAAGACGCAGCCTCCACGCTAGGTGGGTGAGCAGTTCCCAGGGCAGAAGTGACTCGGTGTCCCCGCCATTAGCCGGGCCTTGTTGTATGGGTTTGGGAGGGCCAGGGAGCTGCCCATCCCTCTCCCTGGTGACCCAGACCTTGCTGCTCCCTCCACAGTGACTGGCTCTGAATATGAGACGATGCTGACGGAGATCATGTCCATGGGCTATGAGCGGGAACGGGTCGTGGCAGCCCTGAGAGCCAGCTACAACAACCCCCACCGAGCCGTGGAGTATCTCCTCACGGTGAGGTGGGGGTACCGCCTTCAGGGGAGGCTTCCAGGGAGTACATGGGCTTCCGTGCCCTGATGGGTGGTCAGGGAGGCAAAACCTGACCCCAAAAGCCTTTGGGTTGTAGTTCCAGCCAGGAAAAGCTTTCTGTAGAAGGTTGGACATGAGCAGCGGGGTGGGCCTCACCTGTTTCCTGCCAGGACTGAGCACACAGGAGGGAGGCAGCGGGTGGTCTGTGCATTAGAACTTAATAGGACCCCTGACAGGGAATTCCTGGGAGTCCCGAGCCAGAACACGGTTCTGTCCAGGAGAGCCAGGTATCTGAGCAGCCGGCCACAGAAGCAGGTGAGTTGGGAGGTGCGCATGTGGGGTGTCTGCTGTCAAGACATGCTTCTGGGAGCCCAGCCTAGGGTCTGACCACATGCCTCCCTCCTGCCAGCGGGAGAGAACCCCCTGGAGTTCCTGCGGGACCAGCCCCAGTTCCAGAATATGCGGCAGGTGATTCAGCAGAACCCGGCGCTGCTGCCTGCCCTGCTTCAGCAGCTGGGCCAGGAGAACCCGCAGCTTCTGCAGGTGCGGCCCTGGGGCTCGTCGGGAGCCAGTGTGGCCAACACCTCCCTCCCCTTCCCTGTGGGAACCACAACCGGAAAGAGTGAGCCTGGCCCAACACCCTTCGTAGGCATTCATCTGTACTTGGAAAGCTGGACTAACTACAGTCTCCTGCTGCTCCTGTAGAATGGGTGACCTATTCTGTTTCATATAATCCTCCCAATCACCCTGTGCTGTCATCATTGCCCTCATGGAAGAAGACACCAGAGGCTTGGAGCAGCCCGGCAGCTGGTGGAATGTGTGTGTGTCTGCCTCCAGCTTCTAGGTCCTGTGCTCTGCCTTCAGTGTCTTGTGGTTCTGACTGTGTCTTGGCCTCACGTACACTTGGTGCTTCATACTTGGCATGTCATTAGAGTTACCTTGCAGTGCCCAGGACCGTTGTGCCCCAGTTGGCTCTGGGTCCCCCATTGAAGGCCTGCTCTCTCATTCAGAATCGGTCGTCTGCTGCTGCTTCCCCAGCATCTGTGTTCTTACGCTGGCTGCTCCTGCTCGCCTCCTCCAGATGTAGAGCTCAGGCTGCACCTGTTCTTTATCTGAACTCGGTCCTCCTCATGAATAGTCCTACAGCGTTCAATGGTGACCCAAATCTGTGCAACCAGCCCAGACCTTTGGATGCCACGCTCTTCCGTGGCTGACTTCATGCCTCCACGAAAGTGCTTTCCAGGTGTCTAAGGTTTCAGAACAGACCCTCCTCCCATCCCTCTCTGTCCCTACAAGGACCAGTGTGGGGTTGCTTGAGCCCCAAGCCCTTGGGGACCGCTGGGGCTATCTTACACCTGTCATGTCTGCTATACTTCCAGAACATCTCCATCAGCTCAACCCTGCATTCAGTCTCCATGGCTGATACCTTTTCTCCCACCTGGTTGCCTGGCAGCCAGGCCTCTGTTTCTGCACAGCCCTTATGGTCCATTCTCCACCAGGAGCCAGAGTCCTGAAAAAGCACATCATTGATGTGAAAGTTGTCAGATGTATGTAAAAAGAGTTGTATCAGAACTTCTACGTAGGCAACATCCAGATGAATTGAGGTTTTGAAAAGGTACCCAGATTTGCCCAGCACCATTGTGTCCCGTCACACTAGAAGACAATAGAAGAAAGCAGTTCTGGTCCCTGCTTTCCTCTCTGATCTCAATTTGTTTCTTCTCTTCCCCTCTTACTTGGTTTTACCATATGGACCTTGTTTCTGGCATTTGCCAAATGCATCCCCACTCCCTGATCTTTGCAGTTGCTGTTTGCTGTACCTGTAGGAAAGTTCCTTTCCTCCTGGCCTAACATGCTTTTCCTAGCCCGGTGTCTGCTGTATGCCAGGCCCAGTATTTACATTGTAAATTAGTGCCCATTTATTTGCTTATGGCCTGTCTCCTGCCCTGGAACATCACCTCCACCAGGATGGGGTCTACTCGTCACTGTGTTGCTGCTTGGCCAGAATAGGCACCTTCTAGATACTTACTGAGTGAATGAGAAGGCACGGGCTGTGATAGGCACATGGGGAGGTCGGCCAAGGCTGTGGGTCACCATCCCTTCCCTTTCTCCCACAGCAAATCAGCCGGCACCAGGAGCAGTTCATCCAGATGCTGAACGAGCCCCCTGGGGAACTGGCGGACATCTCTGACGTTGAGGGTGAGGTGGGTGCCATAGGCGAGGAGGCCCCACAGATGAACTACATCCAGGTGACACCACAAGAGAAGGAAGCTATAGAGAGGGTAAGAGGTGTGGCTGAGGGGTGACCCTTCTGGCGGGTAGGCCCCCACACCTTGCTTATACCTGCCCATCTTCCCACAGTTGAAAGCCTTGGGCTTCCCAGAGAGCCTGGTGATCCAGGCCTACTTCGCCTGTGAAAAAAATGAGAACTTGGCTGCCAACTTCCTCCTGAGTCAGAACTTTGATGACGAGTGATTGCCAGGAGGCCAGGCCGCCTACTGCCCTCACCCTATCCCAAATCCAAAAAAAGTTTTATAAAAGAAAAAAATATATATATATTCATGTTTATTTAAGAAGTGGAAAGTCAAAAACCTTAAGGAAAAAAACACCCCAACTTCCCACCCTCCTGAAGTAGCTCCCATTCCCATCCTGGCCTGAGAAGACCTGGGCCAGACAGCTGTCTCCCTATCCCCCGCCCTAGCCCAGCCTGCTCCAAAGAGCTGGCAGGACTGGAGATGACAGATGGGCCCCTCTTGGCCTCTGTCCCAGCTCCCTGCAGCCAGATGGAGAGGGCTGCCTGCTTCCCTGTCCCCCAAAGAGCCCCAAAGACCTCCCCACCCTTCGAGGGTGAGGGGAAGCTGGAGCCCCCAACTTTTGATCTTTCATTGGAATGGCCCAAATCTTCCCTTCTGGGGTGAGCGCTGAGAGGCCCAAAGCCCCCTCTGCAATGTGTCCGTGGCCTTGGCCTCCAGCCTGCATCCCGTCACTGAGGGGTGGAGGCGGCCAGGCTTCTCCTGTCTGGGGAAGGGGTAACATCAGCTGCTGTGGAGGTCGAGGCCACCCCCCACCCCAGTACAAAACCGTGTCTCTGATAAAGATTTTGAAGTGAATAAAGTTTTAAAAGCCCATCCTGTGGTTTGTGCCTGCTGGGGTTTCCCACTCCAGCTCATCTGGCTCTGGGAGCTAGTTGGGCACAGGCTATGTGGGAATGCCAAGAAGGGGCAGAGAGGTCTGTCAGCTTCTGCAGATAGGGGCTCCCAATAGATCCTCTTCCCTCAGAAGCTGTCTCATTCCCCCACAGTGGGCCCCAGCCCCAGCCCCGACTTGGAAGAGCTGCTTCTTCCTGCCCCCTGACCATCATCACCAGTCTTTTTTGGCTACGCTTCCCCCCTGATAATTAATAGAGATTAATGTTGGTAAACAGAAGCCTTCTCCTCTGCCATCTGCTCCTCTATTATTTCCCCATTGCATCCCCATTCTCTCCTCCTGAAGCATGGCCTGGAGTCCCCCAGTGGGCAGTGCCAGGGAAGGGTGGGGGATTCCCTGGCCCCAGGTGTTAGGGAGGGGTACGTTGAGAGAACGAAAAGCTCTTGGCAGGTGGGGCTGTTGGGCAGCAGGTTTTATTGAGAGAGAAAAGTTCAGGAGCTGGGTTCCACAGAGGCTGCTGGGTCCTGGACTGCAGTGGCGGCCAGTGCAGCAGCTCGTGCCTCCTTCTTTTGTCTTTGTTTTTCCTCCTTGAGGCGCTTGCGCTGCTGCTTCTCCAGGTCCTGCAGCAGCTCCTGAAAGCGGGCACTCCTTGGGTCCACATGGTAGCCCAGGCGCTCCTGGGCCTCCGCCTGCAGCCGGGCACGCCGTTCCTTGTCGGCCTTCTCCTTCTCCCTGCGCTCCTGCTGCTGCCGCCGCCAGTTCTCAATCATCTGTGGCATCTTAGCCATGCGCTCTGCAATGAGCTGCTCCCTGCAGGGGAAGGAGGGTGGGCGGTGAGGGCAGTGACACCCAGCCAGAGCTGCACCCATCTATCTACATTCCACCGTCCGGCCTTTGCCTATACTTTGCTTCCCAGCTCCTCCATTGAGATGAAAAACTGGGAAGACTTATCTTGGTCACTATCTGTCAGGAAAAGTCCTGAATAAGGGAAGAAACAGGAAGGAGAGATGGACTCATGTTTGACCTAGGGCAGTGGTCCCCAACCTTTTTGGCACCAGGGACCGGTTTTGTGGAAAGGCGGGGTGTGGCTCAAGCTCACCTGCTGTGGATGGGGGGCAGGTGAGGAGCTCAGGCATCCCTAACAGGCCCAGGCCCATGGGCTGGGTGGGCAGGGTCGGGGAACCCTGATCTAGGGCATGAGGGGGCTGAGCCCTAGTAACCCCCCAGAAGCAGACCCCAACTTAATATTTCACTGGGCTGTCTACTGCACCATGTATGCACACTGTGCCAGTCCATTCCCATGGACATCACTGACCACCTACTGTATGTTAGGCCCAGCACTACGCACATGAGTGAAGGCAAGGAATGGATTAGACCTTTCCAACCAATCCTGTGAATTTGTAGGTGCCAGTTACAGCTCCATTTTAAGAATTCGAAACGTGAAGCTGGAAGAACTAAAGCCTCACAACGGGTAATCCAGATGGGGTGGGGCAGACAGGAGACTGACTGGGGTTCACATCCCACCTTCACAGTTCACTGGAGGTGACTCTACGTTCCCAGGTCTGTTTTCCTGTCTCTAAAAGGAGAATGATCCCTGCTTCCTCTTACAGCTGTTGTGAGGACAAGTACAATTAAACACCAGGAACACAACTGGCCTGCTTCCCCAGCTAGTCTGCTCTGGCTGGCTCTTCCCTCCAGGAATTGGCACCATCCTGATACCACTGGTCTTGCCTACATAATTTGGGTCAAGTATAATCCTTTAAGACCTGCTTCTGAGTCTGTCCTCTGCCCTTGATTCCAGACCATTACTTTCCATTCTATGGACCCAGTTACACTGATGGCCTGGCTGTCCCTTAAAGCACCTTCCTACCTCAGGGCCTTTGCACTAGATGTTTCCCCTATCCAGAACACTTCCCCTAAGATATTCCCATGGCCGTGTCTCACCATTCAAGTGTCTGCTTAAATATCAAGTTTAAGTCCCAAACCAAAGCCACTCTCCGTCTGCACTCTTCACCAAATTTTATCTTCCTAAATGGTTCTCTGCCGCCAGCTGAAACATTTTGCTGTGTTCCCCGCACCTGAGACAAGGCCTTGCACACAGTAGGCGCTCAGTAAAGATTTGCTGATGATGAAGTCTGTTGTGCAGCTATGTGAGCATGCGCATAAATTTACAGTATGCAAACCCCGCGATCACAACCCGTGGGGGTACCGTTCGCCCCTCGGGCCGCGGAGAACGAGACCCGCAGGCCACTGCCATGTCTGACCTCACGCACGCACCTGGCCTTACGCTTCTGCTCTTCGGCCAGCTGCTGCACCCGCACTGACTCCTGCATGGCCGCCAGGCTCGGGTACCATTCACTCTCCTCTGCCTCCAGCTCGCGCAGCTGTTCCTGCGACGGCCACAGCGAACCAGCGGCCACCCCGGAGGCCTCGCCGTGGCGTGCGAACTGCTTGGCCGCGTAGCGTGGCCCCAGCTGCCAGCGCGGAGTCAGCGGGTCATCCGGGTCTGGCCACCAGGGGCCCGGCGAGCGGCGCGGGGGCGGCGGCGTCCGGTAGCCACGAAAGCCTGGGCCCAGGGTAGCAGCCAGCCCGAGCAGGGTCTGCGCCTGCCTCACGGGCGCCGCCATTTTGCCTGTACGAGGTCCTCGAGGGCCGGCCAAGCTGACCGCGGCGCTGCCTGCGCGCGAGGTCCCAAGGGGGCGGGGCGAGGTGAGGAGTGTTTCGGCTACCTCAGTTCGAGGCAGTGGGGAGTAGGGTGTAAAAATTTTTTATACATTTCCAAATCTAACAAAATTTTGTTTTAGCAGTTATTTATTAAAACTATTTAAAGTTTAGTTGTATACATTAAAAGTAGCATTTAATTTTTAATATTAAGTTATAGTCAATTATTTTAAACAACTTGAATAAAACGTTTAAATGTTTCAACTTTCAGTCTACATAATTTAAATTTTAAACATTTAAATGTTCATAACATTAAATATCTATGCTTTTTAATTTGATTTTAATATAATTAAAAATTATTTAAAATCTCGTTTTAGTAGACGTTTTAGTATGTATCTAAAACATTGTATATAATAATTATTAAGATATTGACTTAATTTCTTATATTTTAAAGTGTTTGATTATGGCTCAGAAATTAAACACTTTTTTAAAAAAGATCTTATTTATTTATTTTTAGAGAGATGGGAAGGGAGGGAGAAGGAGAGGGAGAGAAACATGGACTGGTTGCCTCTCACATCAAACCAGCGTCGCTCTGGTTGGCAGGCGGTGCTCAATCCACGGACCCACACCAACCAAGGTCTTTTTTTTTTTTTTTTTGGTGCCTTCTGTCCCCAGGGTGCTTGGGTCCCTGTGGGTGGGTCCCCCTGGGTTTCTGTAGGAGACCGGTCCCACTGACCTTGCTTCTCTTCCACTTCAAACACTATTTTTAAGAAAGGATTTCAACCTTAAACAGGAAGGAAATTCTAACTCATGCTGCAGTATGGATGAACCTGAAAGATACTATACTGAATGAAACAAGCCAGTCACAAAAGTACATATGTTGAGTTATGTGATTCCATTCATAGGAGGTCCCTAGAGGAGTCAAATTTGTGGTGGGTGCCAGGGATTGGGGGAGGGGCATGGGGCGTTAGTGTTTAATGGGGACAGAGTTTCAGTTTGGGGAGATGACAGAATCTGGAGATGGATGGTGATGATAGTTGCAAAACACTGTGAATGAGTGTGCTTAGTGCCTCTAAACAGTACACTTAAAATGGTTAAGATGGTAAAGATTATGTATATTTTATTACCAAAAAGAAAGAAAGGAGGAATTGAGGTTTGCTCACTGAACCAGGAAGCCTGGACAAGAATATTTGTAGGTCACAGCAGTACTGCATATACCATAAATATCAATCCCAAGCTGGATTCTCTCCTGTGGGTGTTCAGTGTCATTTCATCGGTGTTCCTTTGCAGCAGAAGGGATACCTACATTTTGATGTTTCAGCTGACAGGTTACTACACAGGAATGTAGGAACAAAAATTACAACTGCTCACAGTGACGTTAATGAGTCTCATAGACATCATATGCAACAAAATGACAGGACCAAAGGATTCCTTTTCATTCTAGAAATCAGGATGGGATGCCTTTGGTAAGGGTGAGGAGGCACCTAGGTGGTGGTCACATGGAGGGCAGTCACTTTGAAATAGCTCACTGAGGTGGGCAACCCATTCTGTTTGCTTTTCTATATGTGGACCCCATTCCATATTATTTCTTTAAAAATGATTTTAATTATTTTTTTTAGAGAAAGGGGAAAAGAGGGAGAAAAGGAGAGAAACATTGATGTGCAAATGTGTCCTGACCCGGAATCAACCAGCAACCTTTCGCTTTGCTGGATGATGCCCAACCCACTGGGCCACACGAGTCAGGGCTCCGTATTATTTCTTGAGCTTGCACTACAGTGAGGCCTGAGTTATAAATAGTCTTTAAGCTGTAATAAACTGTATCTGTGAGTTGTCTACTTTCCTGTAGATGTACTATATTTCACAATTTAAAGCTGAAGATACACAAAACATAAAGGATTACAGAGAGCAGTCTTACCCCGACCTGTCATCTTCCCCTTTCCTGTCTGAGCGCCCCTCAACTTGTTTCAGTTTTTATGTATCCTAAAGAGTTGGTTTACACATTGTTATTTACAGTGTTAATAAATTATTTCACAAGAACAGAAGAATCACTTATGTCATCACTCCAGTTGAACAAATACAGAGTGGAGCAAAAGCAGGTTTATTGTTCATAGGGAAAACAATACAATAATTAGTGCATAATAATACAAGAATAAACTCTTTCATGTACTCACAACTATAAACCAACTTTGCCCCACCCTATATCAACACTTTGGCTCTATTACTTCAGATCTTTTTAAAAAAATTCCTTTTTTGCCCTGGCTGGTGTAGCTCAGTGGATTGAGTGCCAGCCTGCAAACCAAAGGGTCACCGGTTCGATTCCCAGCAAGGACACATGCCTGGGTTGTGGGCCAGGTCCCCAGTAGGGGGCGTGCAAAAGGCAACCACAAATTAATGTTTCTCTCCCTCCCTTTCTTCTTCCCTTCCCCTCTGTCTAAAAATAAATAAATATTTTTTAAAAATTCCTTTTTATAAAAATTTATCCCTACTATGGAAGCCCCCAATGACAGAAATACCTCCATCTACAAATGCCACCCCTTTCCCTCCCCACCCTTCTGAGGATTAACAATTATTTTGAAATTAGTTTATTCTTCCAGGACCAGCCTTTGTGTATTCATTACTTATCTGAAGTCTGTGGAAACAATGTACAATATATATTTTTTAAACAGTGTACAAAAATGGTATCCTGAAGGTATTAGTTTGCAACTTTTCTCCCTTAACTTTATGCTTTCCAGATGTTTCCATGTGGATCCCTGTAGATTTATTGCATGTGTGCTGTAGCTGTGTTTTTCACATTATGAGTCATAGGGTTTATTATTGATTCAGGAAATCGATGAGGTAAGTTACAACCAGCACTTATTTATTTCCAGGTTTACAATTAAGGGAAGAATGATTAATATAAAAATACTTTATTTAAAAATTGTTTATTTTTTAAAAGTTGTGACAAAATACACATAAAACTTACCATCGTAACCATTTTTAAGGATACTATTTGGTGGCATTAAACATATTGACATAATTGTGTGATCACCACCTCCCGTCTCCAGAACTTTGTCGTCTTACAAAACAGAAATTTTGTCCCTGTTAAACACTAACCCCCCTCTCCCCTCCCCCCGGCCCTGGCACCCACCATTCTACTTCCTGTCTCAGTGAATCTGACTCCACCAGGGACCGCATATGTGTGGAATCTTACAGTATTTGTCCGTGACTGGTTTATTTCACTTAGCATGATGGGCTCAAGTTCATCCACATCGTAGCATGTGTCAAAATGTCCTTGCTTTTCAAAGGTGAATAATATTACCTCATGTATTTATTACATTATGTTTATCCATTCATTCATTGATGGACATTCGAGCTGCTTTCACCTTTTGGCAATTGTAAATAATGCTGCTATGAATATAGGTGTCCAATGGTTATTTAATAGGAAAAACAGAATAAAAATATCAGATTGTATCACATGAAGTAAGGGCAAGTACTGTGTGGTAAAACTTTTATTGCTGTCATAGGTACATGTATGTATTACTAGTATTCCAACTGCAATTATATGCTAACAAACCTTCCCTAAACAACTATTTTTATTACGTACATGGGTTGTGTGGATCAGGGATGTAGGCAAGGCACAGCGGAGATGGCTTGTCTCTGCTCCATGCTATCTGCAGCCCTAGCTGGGAAGAATTCAAAGTTGAGTGACTTGACTCCTGTCCTCCAGAATTTTCAGAGGGCATCTTCATATGTTCATATCTCATGACTGACATTGGCAGGAGCCTCAGCTGGGCTACCAGCTGGAATATCTATACAGTGGACTCTTTCAAATGGGCCAGGTTGAGTTTCCTTGCAACATGGCAGCTGGGTCCCAAGTGAACAAGGCTGAGATGCTGGCACTTTTATGACTGAGCCTTGGAAGTCACATGACATCATTTCTGTTGTATTCTATTGGTCGAGCCAGTCACAAAGGTTGTTTAGGTTCAAGGGGAAGGGTCAGAGACTTAGTCAATTGAAGAATTGCCAAGGTCACTTTTGTCAAGGCCTGTAAATAAAATGTATTTCTTCCTGTGCTCAGTGGTTAAAAAAAAAAAAGTTTGAAAAAAAAAACCCCTCTCTTCTTGATACTGTCCATGGTATGAATAAACTATAATTATTCCATCAGGCTGTTTGATGAGCATTTGTTTTCACATTTTTTGTTTTGATTGCAGAAATTATGCTGTAGTGAACCTCCCTGTCTGTGTCCCATGGGAAACTCTTCCTGGAGTGTTCAATAAATCTAAGTCTTTCCCCGGGGTTTGCTGAGGGACAGGTGTGGTTGAGGTCTGGGGTTGATGTCCAGTGAATGAAGCAAACTGAGGGAGGAGGTGAGGTGAAGAGTGTCAGGCAGGGGCCAGCCATGCAGGCATTATGGGACATGAAGGGGGTTCTAGTTTTATTCCAAGGGCAATGGGGAGCCATGGGAGGACTTTGAGCAGAGGAGTGATGAACATGATTTATGATTCTCCTCTGGTCGTTGAGCAGAAAACGCAATGAGAGGGTAACATGTAGAAACAGGAAGACCCATCAGGAAATGGAAGGGGCCATGTTGCCGTGTGGTCCCTGACCTGTGGGGACTTTGCATTAATTACCTTTGCTATTACCATGCCTAGAACTTTCTCCCAGGATCTTTACACCGTGGGGTGTTCTTTTTATTATTGATTTAAAAAAAGATTTTATTTACTTATTTTTAGAGAAAGGAAGAGAGGGAGAAAGAGAGGGAGAAGAACATCAATGTGTGGTTGCCTCTTGCATGCCCCTTGCTGGGGACCTGGCCCGCAGCTCAGGCTTGTGCCCTGACTGGGAATTGAACTGGTGACCCTTTGGTTCTCAGGCCAGCACTCAATCCAGTGAGCCACACCAGCCAGGGCTGATTTCTTTTCTTTTTCTCTCTCTCTCTCTCTTTTTTTTTTGAAAGAGAGAAGAGAAATATCAGTTTGTTGTTCCACTCATTTATGCATTCATTGGTTGCTTCTTGTATGTACCCTTACTGGGGGTGGAACCTGAAATCTTGGTGTATCTGGATGATGTTCTAACCAACTGAGCTACCCGGCCAGGGCAGGCTTCTTGTCATTCAGGTTTAACTGAATGGTCACCTCCTGTTTTCCTTGGATCTTGGGAGATGCAGGAAATGAGGTAGGGATTGTCCCTGACCTCAAACAGCTTACATTATTTGGGTAAGACACATAAATAATTACAGTGGAGGTGAAAGAGGAAGAAAGTGCTTGGAATGGGACTGATGGACAGTCAAGTGTGGTATATCTGAGCTGCAGTTTTCTCTCAGATCAGGAAGTTTGGGAACTGCGCTGAGAAACACAAGCCTAGAGGTTAAGAGAAGGCACTCTGATGTCTAACCAGCCTGCAATGAGTTTCAGCTGCTGGCCAGGGCGGGCCACACAGCTGGTACCACATGGTCATGGGAGAGGAGCTTCTGAGGGCAGGCCTTAAATTGAAGGAAAAGTCACACACATAAAATTAATCATTTTAAAGTGAAAAATTGAGTGGCACTTAGTACAGTCACAATGTTGTACAACCACCTCTTCTATCTAATTCTGGAACATCTTCATCACCCCAAAGGAAGCTCCCTACCCATTAACAGTCCAATTCCCTCCTCCCTTTAGTCCCTGGCAATCGCTAACATACTTTCCATCTCTATGGATTTGCCTATTTTGTACATTTCATATAAAGGGAGTCATGCAATATGTGACCGTTTGTGTCTAGATTTCTCTTACTTAGTATGTTTTCGAAGTTCATCCATATGGTAGCTAAATGCATCAGTACTTGTTATGGACTGAGTTGTGTCCCCCCAAAATTCATGCGTTAAAGTACTAACCCTCAGTGCTTGCCTCAGAATATGACCATATTTAGAAATAGGGTCTTTAAAGAAGTAATTGAATTAAAATGAGGTCATTAGGGTGAGTCCCAATCCAGTATGACTGATATCCTTATTTTAAAAAAAGAGGAAATTTGGACACAGACACACAGAGAGGAAACACCATGTGTAAAGACACAGGGAAAAGATGACCATCTAGGCCCTGGCTGGATAGCCCAGTTGGTTAGAGCGTCAGCCTGATACACCAAGGCTGTGGGTTCAGTCCCCAGTCAGGGCAGATACAAGAAGCAACCAATGAGTGCATAAGTAAATGGAACAACAAATTGATCTCTCTCTCTCTCCCCACACCCCCATCTCTCCTCAATAAATTAAAAAATAATAAAAAAGATGGCCATCTATAAGCCAATATAAGCCAAGGAGAGAGGTTTCAGAAGAAACCAGCTTTGCTGACAACTTGATCTTGGACTTCCAGCCTCCAGAGCCATGAGACAAAAAATTTCTGTTGATAAAAACCTCTGCACAGTCTTTATTCTGTAGTTAAAGACCCCCCACCGTTACTTTATTATGGCAGCCCTAGCAAATTAATGTAATGTAGTACTTCATTGATGTTTATAGCTGAATGATATTCTATTGTAGGGAATTGTTTTTCTTGTAATCAAAGATGGAAAATAACCTAACTATCCAAGAATAGAAGACTTGTTAAAGAAATGACTGAATATTCATAGGATGGAATACTATGCAGATGTTAAAAAAGAATAAAGGCAGTCTCTAAGTCGGGAGGGAGTCTCAAAGTGTGCCGTCCAGGCCAGCAGCATCAACACCGCCACCTGGGACTTGTTAGCAATGCAGGTTCTCAGGCTCCACACAGAATCAGATACTCTACGAATGGGGTCTTGTGTGGAGCTCTCCAGGTGACACTGAGGCAAGTTCAAGTCTGAGACCGTCTGCTGTATATAACCATACAGTCCAGGGGTTCAGAGCAGCCCTGGGGTGCTTTAAATTTTATTTTATTTTATTTTATTTGTATTAGAGAGAGAGGAAGGGAGGGAGAAAGAGAGGGAGAAATATTGATGTGAGAGAGAAACATCGATTGGTTGCCTCTCCCTCGCGCCAGGACCGGGACTGAGGACAGAACCTGAAACCTAGGCATGTGCCCTGACCAGAACTGAACTGGTGAACCTTCGTTTTGTAGGAGGGCGCCCAGCCAACTGAGCCACACTGGTCAGGGCCTGGGTGGGCTTTTTAAAAACGCCAGTGCATTTGGCCCATCCCTAGAGATTCCAGTATAATTGACCTGGAGCAGGGTCTGGTCAATTCCCCACTTCGAGGTGATGTTAATGTGCGGTCAGGAGTGCGAACCACTGATGGGGAGTAAGTGTAAAAATCCAGGTGGAAAAGAGTCATGTTCCAAAATGTTCTTTTGCAGGGATGTGATAGTTAAAATGTGGGTAATGGAGAAATAAATTTAGGGTATGTATGGACAGTGGAATACTCTTCCACAGTGAAAAGGGCAGACCATTGAGTACAGGTGAAAGTTAAAAGAATCAATATATTATGATACCATGCATATTAAATTTAAAATACACAGAACGATTTTATGTATCTTTTGTGAATGGATACAGTGATGAGGATTGCAATGGCAAATTCAGGGACAGAGCAAGTTTCTCTCAAATCTGTAGCCTTTTATTGCTTGGTTGGGATAATGAGTATAGCGGATTTTGTTATATTTTTATCTACATCTATTTGAATGCCCAAAATAGTTCACTTAAAGGACAGGGGACAGAAAAAAGGTATAAGTTGCTTTCATTGGTGCTTCCTCCCTTGTTTTTGTTGCCTTATGTATGATAAAAACAACTTTTAAACTCTAAAGGGACGCTTCCCCCTTCGCCCCCACCTCACCCACCCATTTTCATGTCCCTCTCCAACAGGAAAATACTGTTGCTTTTTTTCAATATTCAAATCACGTAAACCGTGTCTGTAAGTTCTTATCCCTTCCCCCAAAAGGTCAGGGTGTAATAGACATCCTGTTCTGAAAAATGTTTAACTTCATTTTTCTTGGGTGTCTTTCCATGCTGAAACTGTAAGGGCGTGCGCCGCCTTGTGCAGCCGTGTGTTACGGGGCTTATTCCTGGTGAGTTGGGGGACCAGCGAGGAGGCCCGCGCGGCTTGGCGGGGAGAGAGTGGAGAGGGACGAGGACGGGGAGGCACGCGGACAGCGCGAGCCCGGGGTGGGGGTGGGGGCGGCAGCGAGGACGGTGGCTGTTACCTCGCGTCAGGCGGGAGCCCCGGCGGGTTCTGAGCAGAAGAGGGACGTGCCCGGGCTCAGGGCACCCTCTGGCTGCTCTGCGGGGAGCAGAGTTTGGAGGTGGGAGCCGGGGCACCAGAGCGGAGGGACTATGGTGGTTCAAGTGGGAGATAATAAGGGCCGGGCTGTGTCCAGGTGGAGGACCCAAGAGGGAGTGAGAACTGGGCGGATTCTGGGTAGGTTTGTTTTTTTTTTCTGGGTAGATTTTGAAGCGGACGGAACTTGCTGTCATTTCAAATTGGGGAGCGGGTGTTGTCAGAGAAAGTGAGGGGTCAAGGATGCTCCAAAGTCTGGGGCCCTAGCACCTTCTAGGACGGAACTTTCGCTAGCTGGGTCTGGAGGAAAGCGATAGGACAAGTTGGGGGACGCTCAGGAGTTCGGGTGTAGCTGGACTAATGGAAGGCGCTCCCGCACCTTCGGGTGGGGCGTTCGGGATGCGAGTCCCGAGAGCCGGGCGCGAAGTCCCAAGAGCCGCCGCCAGAGGGCGAGCGCGCCCCATCGCCTGCACAGCTCCTGGTGCGCGGGAAGGACCTGCCCTGCTGCTTCCCACGGCCCCGCAGCCTGCAGTGCCTCACCTGGGTGCGAGCTGTGGGCCACAGAGGTGCCAGAGCCCGGCCGGGACCCCCCGATGCTCTCGGGGCCCCAAAGCATGGTGCTCCCACCCCTATGAGCTTCAAGCACTCCAATCTCCCACACCCCACGAGACTGTTTGCGTTGCCTGCGACACTCACAGGGTTCTGAAAAAATATTACTTACCTCTTCAGGGAGGCCTTCCCTGACCACCCAGGGGGCTGAAACCCCTCCCCATCCCACTCCGCTAAAACACCTCTAAGGCACAGTCCTTTTTAATACCTTAACATTTAAGACTCTGAAATCATCTTAATTATCTTGCCTGTATTCTGCTGTACAACGTAAAACAGGGAGACCCATTTTCTGTTTGGTCTCCCGTATCCTCAGGGCTCGGAATTAGGCTTGGATCTAGCAGGTGCTAAAGGAAAACCAACAGCAACAATGTTAATCGTAGCTTACTCCTGGTGCTACTGTATACTGGCCTCTATTTTAAATTCCTTAAGTAAATTACCTCCTTGAATCCTCAGAACAACCCTAAGGTACTGGTATTATCTCCATATTCCAGAAGAGGAAGCTGAGGCCCAGAGTGGTTGAGAGAATGGACCAAGGTTGCACAGCCAGGAAGTTGCAATGTTGGGATTGAAACCCGAGTAGCTTGACTGCAAAGCCTGGTTTTGCTAAATGGATGAATGGGGCCCTGAAACCTGGTACGGAGCCCCCAGGGACTTTGGCATTATGTCCCAAGCCCCTGTCTCTAGACCTGCCTCTCCTGGTCCCCCAGCCCACACACCAGCAGCCCCAGCCCCCAGATCCCCTGCTAGGCTAGGGGGAGGGGTGGGAACCCAGCAGGTCTGGTTTACTCTGGAGTTTGCAGAGGCACCTCCCAGGCTGCCCAGGTCGGGGGCAGGCCATTAAAAGTGGGTCCGGTGAGCACAGACTGCACTCACCAGACAGCAGGGTCAACTGCCCGAGACCCTGAGCCCAGTGCCGGACACTCAGACAGATGCTCCTCAGCCAGCTGACCCCTCTCCTGAGCCTGCTCAGTGGAGCCTGGCTACCCAGAGGTTTGGGGAGGCCTGGACCCCGTGGTCCCCCACCCCAGCCCTGGGCTGCCGCCAATCAGACCCAAACTCTGGGCCAAGGGGCCCTGGCCTCCCCAGTGCCATCCTCTGCTCTCAGCAGTTGGAAGGCCTTCTTGGATCTGCAGAAAACCGGGCGTATAGGAACAAGTGGGCTGCAGCGTGGGGAGCAGGTGACCACCGCCATGTCTCTCCCGCTGAACCCACAGGAAGTGGCCCATGAGATGTGCAAGGCTGTGCCCTTCACTCAGGTGAGTGTGCAGGTGGGGGAAGGAGGGGGCTGGGTCTCAGAATTGGCAGGGGGCATGGGCTGTGGTGCCAGATCTGGGATCAAGCCCTGCATTTTTTACCTAACTGTCTCTGATCCTTGGTTTCCTCCCTTATAACAAGGGGGTTAAGTTTCCCCACTGCAGCCAAAGCAGTTGCCCCTATCCTGGTCTCCCAGCTTCTGCTAACACCACCCTGTCCCCCAAGTCTGTTTTCCCACTTAGTGGCTGAGGGTACCCATGAGCTCCAGAGTCAGGTCATGTCCTTCCTTTGCTCAGAACCTTCCATGCCTCCCACCTCACCCAGAGCAAAAGCCCAAGCTCTTCCTGCAGCCCGCAACGCCCTGCACTGTCTGCCTGTCCCCTCCCTGCTCCCACCGTCCCCCACCTCCGCCTTGCCCGCCGTGCTCCGGCCATACCTGCCTCCTTACTTTCCTCCAGACACACCAACGTTACATGCCACTGGCTCTCCCTTTGCCTTTACATCTTTCCTCCGCCCTGACATTCTATGGCTCCTTCTTTCACCTCCTGCAGGTTTTTACTCAAACGTGGTTTAAAAAGGCAGCACCTGCCACCCCATTGCCCGCTTTTCTGCTTTATTTCTCTCTGTAGTACACACCATCACCCAAAAAGTGAAATTGATTCTGTCATTGCACTTTTCATGCCTTCCTCCGTAGCATGTCCATCCCCCCAGGGGGAGGATTTTTATCCTTATCCCCTCTGCATCCTCATCCCCAGGCCTTAGGACAGAGCCAGGCACACAGCAGGAGCTCGGTGGGTGTTGACAATGGAGGAGAGTGCAGTGCCTCCCGAAGCACCTCTGGGCAGCCTGAGTGAGAGGGGTAGGGACAGCACTCGCAGCCGCAGCTGCGTTCAGCTGGTGCTCCATAAAGGCTATAGGAATCCCTGTCATGTGTTGTGTGTGGCCCAGGCTTTGAAGTCAGATGTATCAAGGTCTGCCTTAGCTGCTGATTTCTTTCAGAGCAAGAGGCTGGGGTGACTGGGGCAGAGTGAGGGGGAAGGTGGGAGGAGAAGGGCAGAGGTGGGAGGACACAGTCTTAACAGAGAACCAGGATCAGAAGGTAAGTTGATAGACCCCCTTCGTTGGAGGGGATCATAGGAGGAAACACCATCTTTTGAGCACTGACTGGGTGCCAGGTAATAGGAGCACTGCGTAATCCCCCAGGCTCTTGCAATGCCGCCCCTTCCTGCTGTTCCTCAGCCCTTCTCTGTATTAATCCTCTCTGTTGAAAGGTCTAGAGCATACTACTCCCCCCTTCCCCTGCCCTGAACTTTGATAATTTCACAGGTGAGGAAACTGAGGCTCAGAGAGGTTGAATAACTTATCCCAGGTCACACAGCCAGCAGATGGCAGCCAGCATTTGAGCCCAGGCATCCATGCTTTTCAGGGTGGGGTGGAAGTGGGTGGGTGAATATCCTCATTGCTCTTGCCCCAGACTCCACTGCCCCTGACCTATCCCTCTGCCTCTGGCCCCAGGTGCTCTCCCAGCCGGGATGCATGACCGTGCGCCTCCGCAATCACCTCTGCTTTGGCCACTGCTCCTCACTCTACGTCCCTGGTGTGGACTCTGCCCCGCTTGTCCTCTGCAACAGCTGTGTGCCCACTCAAAGGCGCCGGGCACCCGTGTTCCTGTGGTGTTGGGTGGGCAGCCCAACCTCTCGTCGGCGGGTGAAGACATCCATGGTGCTGGTCGAGAGATGTCAGTGCAGCCCGAAGGCATGAGCTGAGCATCACAGACTGACGAAGATGCACCCACCTTGAGAGATGTGGGGCGTCAGGCTGAGAAAGACGCCGACCTGGGTTATGTGCACTGGGTCAAAGAGACCAAGGATGCAGGGAACGCCAGATGGGCCTTCCGAGTCCTCCCAGGGACACCAGACGTAGGCCCGGCCATGGAGGTGGACGGCTCACAGACACAGCACACACTTATTAAGTGCTCAGTGTTGTCCAGGCCCAGCTCTTAGTGTTTGACATGTACTTACTTGTGTCATCCTCAGAGCTGCCCAATGACATAGACATTTTACATTTGCCATTTTACAGGGAAGGAAACCGAGGCCCCAAGAGGCAAAGCCACTAGCTCAGGGTCACAGAGCAGTATGTGTCAGAGAGAGCATTTGGACCCAAGACAGTGTGGCATCCTTTTTTAGCCACCAGGCTGGACCTCCTCTCACATAATGAGTCAAAGACGCACTCCCAACTGCGGGGAGAACAGATGGCCCCTCCCGGACCAGGAGACATGGTGATGACCCTGTCCTAGGGACTCCAAGAAACCAAGCCAGGAAGGCAGACGTAGCTACTGGGGGAAACCTGGGCTCCCCAAATCAGACGCAGGACCTATGAGCTCCAGCTGCCCTGCAAGTCTCCACCCAGCCCCATGCCCAGGGCGGCAGTTCTACAGGAACCATAAAGGCTGGCCGAGCCCAGCTGTGTGTAATGCGTGTATGTGTGTTTGTTCCTCCAGCTGGAGTTCCCTGGGGGTATGTGGCCCTGTGGAATGCGGGCACAGTGCGGGGGTGGGGTGGTGCTCCCTCCTCAGTGGGGAGCAGGGTCTGCAGCGGACCAGGGCGGCCTGGCTTTGGGCGTCTGGAACCAGGGCCCTAGCAGATGGGCCCGTCTGGCACAGACGCAGGGACATGTGGCGCTGTCAGGGTTGCCTCCAAATGCTCCCCGGAGCGCAGGGCGGGGGGCGGCCAAGGCCCCCCTCAGCCCTCTTCCTGCCTCAGGAAGGAAGGCCCCAGGTGAGGGGAGCAGGAGGAGGGGACCCGAGGAAACAGATGGGCCAGCGGGGCGTGGGAGCCCATGACCTCTGACCTCACAGGCCAGCACAGAGGGGTGGGAACAGGCCAGGCAGGCAGCTCCCAAGGCCCCGCTCCAAGGGCTGGGATGGGATGGGGGGAGGTCGTGAGTGGCCCCTGGGGCAGGGGTGTACTCTCCCTCCCCCCTCCAGGGTTCTGTGCCAAACCTCAGGCAGCGTCCGAGTGGGTAGCTCAGCCTTGGCACCGTGGGCACCCCCTCTCTGGCAGGCATATGAGGCGCCTGCTTCCACCCCTTTCAGCTGTGCCCACCTCCTGCCAGCCGGGGAGCCAGCTGGGAACCTTGGTGCCAGGGGGGCCCCGTGTGTCCCTGCCCCCCCCGGGCAGTGCCAACCGGCCCCCGCCCCCACTCCCCAGGCCCATTAATGGGTGGGTAATGAGTGCTGGGGGAGCAGAGGAGGGGCGGGGATGCAGGTGCCACAGGCGCTGGCACGGGGGCTGCTAATCAGGTTTGCCAACGCCATCTGTCACCGCGCGAGCATCTGGGGCTCAAGGTGACCCTGTCACCCTCAGTTACAATTATGAGTTTGGCATCTGTATTAAAGCCCGCCAGCCGGCCAGGATGGGGAGGGCTGGGGTGGGCTAGGGGTGTGCGGTGAGCCCTGTCCCGGGGGTCCCGTTCCCAGGGGCTGTGCGGCTGCCAAGGCATGGGGCTTCTCCCTGCCTAGGGGAGTTCGTGTGTGTGTGTGTGTGTGCGTGTGCGCATGCACACCAGCCTGCACAATTCTGCGAGTGTGTCTGGATGCAGGGTTGGGAGTCTAGGTTTTGTGTGTCTCTGGGTATGGTGGCTGTGTGTCTGAGTTTGGTGGGATGGCTGGGAGGAGGCAGGTCTGAGAGCGTGTGGGTACGCAGATGAGCGTGGGTCTGTATGCTGGGAGAGGAGTAATGGTAGGTCTAGGTGTCTCCGGGTGATAGTGGGCGTCGGTGTATGCGTGATGTCATGTGTGTTGTTGTGTGTGTGCCCCTGACAGTGTGTGGTGCTGTGCATCTGATGGTCACAGCCTATCTATTTGGGCATGTGGGTCTCCATGTAAGATTCTGTTGCATTGTGTGTGTGTGTGTGTGCGCGCACGCGCACGCGCGCATGTGTGTAAACACACAAGGGCAGCAGCTGGGAAAGGCTCTGTGTGGTAGCTGCAGGGCTTCTCTCCTGCCCCTTTAGTCTGTCCCCGCCCTCACCCACCCCGGCTGCCCCGCTCTAACCTGGGTGCTTCGGGAAGGCAAAGGGCTGGCTTGGGGGCGGGGTGGGGGGGGGAGCTCTAGGCTCCAGAGTCTTGGATCTGGATTCTGGGCCTTCAATTCTAAATTCTGAAGACAGGATCTACCCTTCTGGATTCTGGGCACTTGGACATGGATTTTAGATTCTGGGTCCCCAATTCTTGGGTCTGGATTATAGATTTTGGTCCCTGGGAATCTAGATTCAGATTCTGGCATCTGGATTTCAGGCTCTGAATTCTGGCTTTGGGTTCTGGCTAACTGACCCTGACTTCCAGTGTCTGGGACTCTGGGTGCTGAGTCTGGGCCTGTCCTCTGTGCCCTTCTGTTCAGGGTGGGCCACTGGGCTGCCCGCCATCCCCTGACCTGATGGGTGCAGAGACCACACATCGCCACCAGGGGACACCCTTGGTCCAGATTTGGACCCAACTGACCCAGACATGGAGGAGTTGGGGACCACCCCGGCCTGGTTTGACCCAGCCCTTTGAGGAGGAGGGAGGCGGTGCTCCACCTCTCTCCCTTCCTCTTCCCATCTGGGCTGGAGACTGATGTCTGTCAAACATGGAGAACTGGACCCAGCATCCCCATAGACCCCTTAATCTGGGCCAGGGGCCAGGGCGCCAAGTCATTGGGTCAAATGCAGGGTGCAAAAAGCTTATGTGTCATGGGACGGTGTCAATGAGTGTGCAGGTGTGAGAGTGCACCGTATGTCTGGGGTGGCCACATATGGCAGTGTTCCGTGGAGTGTGAACCTGTGTGGTGTGTGGCCATGTGTGACTGTGACCACATGTCTGACAGGGTCCTCATGTGACAGTGCATCTAGGAGGCTGTATCTGTAACTGTGTCACTCGGGTATAAGGTAGAAGTCCCTGTCATATGGGCATGTCTAACTGAACATGACTGTGTCACTGGGTGTCTGCGGGTGTGTCTGTAGGTGTCACTGGGTCCATGAGGGTGTCTTGGAGTGTCTGAGACAGTGTCCCCAAGACTAGGTCCCTGTGTTGACCATGTCTTTTCAGTGGGTCTGTGAAGATGTGTAGGACAGAAACATGCCTTCCAAGAGTGTCAAACTGGGGGAGGCATGTTGTCCAAAGGAGAGTGGGGGAAGGACTGGGGTAGGAGGAATCAGAGGCACTCGGTGTACTTGTTCCTTTCCCTTCCTGTATCTCTGACTCTCCGTCTTGCTGAATCTCTGTACGGCTGGGTCTCCGCCTCTCTCTCTCAGTATCTCTGACTTTGGGCGTTCTGACCAGGTGGTGGCTGGAGTCGTTGAGGGTGTAGCAGTCCTCTGCCTAGTCTCATTGCCAGGCACAGCGCAAGGCACAGTAGGCTCCGTGGCTGTTGGCTCGCTGGCCCTGCCCTGTCTCCCACCCCAGCCCTTCGTCTTCCAATTCAATCCCCGCCTCTGCCTCTCCTTGGTTCTGTCTCTCTGTCTGCTTCCTCACTGGTGTATTTCTTTCCATCTCGCAGGTCTCTCCCATCTCTGTCTCTCCCCGTCTCTGCCTCTCCCTCTTGGCTTTTAAGCGTCTTTCTTTCTCCATCTACCACTCTGTCTTTCCCCATCTCTTGTCTCTCCCTCTCTCGTCTCCCTCCACCTTGTCTCTCCCTATCTCTGTCTCTCCCTGTCTCTGCCGGCCCGGGTGGGTCGGGGTGGGTCCGGGACAGCCAGGCCCGGGCGCCGCGGCGAACAATGCCCCATTCACGCGGCCCTTCGGCGCCATGGCAACGCGCCCGCCCCGCCCTCCCCGCCCGGGCCGCGCGTGCCAAGAGGATGCCATGGTTACGTCAGGCGCGTGCCCGCTCCGCGCGCCGCCCCCCGCGCGCTCTTGGAGTGGCCAGGCCGGCAGGGGGCGCCCGGCCGCAGCCTATGTCCTAAGCCGGAAGGGGCATCCTCCTTCACGGGGCCTTCAGCCACTCGTCGCCTGTTTTCCCTTCTGTAAACCGTGAACGGTGGGCAGAATAATATTGTAGTGTGTGTGTGTGTGTGTGTGTGATGGTGAGTGAAGCCTCTCTTTAGGGTATTTGTGTGTGAGCACATTTGGGAGTCAGTGGGACTATGTGCCAATTTGTGGGTCAGTGTTTGCATAGGTGCATGGGTGTTTCAAATAGTCGGTTCTAGCCTGGCGGGGTAGCTCAGTTGATTAGAGCCTGGTCCCGATATGCCCGCATTGCGGGTTCCGTCCCCAGTGAGTGTCAACGCAGATGCGGGAGTCAACCAATGAACGCATGAATGGGCGGGGCAAGGAGTCAATGTTTTTCTCTCTCCCAGGTCAATAAAATTTTTTTAAAGCAGTTGGTTCTAGTTTGGGGGTGACTGGATGCCTGTGTGTTTGGGAATGTGAGTGTGTATATATTTTCGTGCCTATGTGTAATGATGCCTGTGTAGTTTGGGTATGACAAGTGTATGTGGGTTTGTGGTCATGTGCCCTGATGTTTGTGTGCCCCGTGTTTGTGTGCCTGAGGTGTGTATATGTGTGATTGTGTGCTTGTGAGTTCATGTGATTGTGTGTCCGTGTTTGCATGGCTGAGGGGTGGGTGACAGAGAGACAGAGAGAGAGATGGTGGGTCTCTGTGGTTGGGGGTGATTGTGTGTTTGTGATTGTGAGTTCATTCGATTGTGCGTTTGTGCTTGCATGCATTGTATGTGTATAGTTGTGAATTTTTGTAACTATTGTTTGGGGGGGTCTTTTTATA